TGTATGTATGTATGTATGTATGTATGTATGTATGTATGTATGTATGTATGTATGTATGTATGTATGTATGTATGTATGTATGTATGTATGTATGTATGTATGTATGTATGTATGTATGTATGTATGTATGTATGTATGTATGTATGTATGTATGTATGTATGTATGTATGTATGTATGTATGTATGTATGTATGTATGTATGTATGTATGTATGTATGTATGTATGTATGTATGTATGTATGTATGTATGTATGTATGTATGTATGTATGTATGTATGTATGTATGTATGTATGTATGTATGTATGTATGTATGTATGTATGTATGTATGTATGTATGTATGTATGTATGTATGTATGTATGTATGTATGTATGTATGTATGTATGTATGTATGTATGTATGTATGTATGTATGTATGTATGTATGTATGTATGTATGTATGTATGTATGTATGTATGTATGTATGTATGTATGTATGTATGTATGTATGTATGTATGTATGTATGTATGTATGTATGTATGTATGTATGTATGTATGTATGTATGTATGTATGTATGTATGTATGTATGTATGTATGTATGTATGTATGTATGTATGTATGTATGTATGTATGTATGTATGTATGTATGTATGTATGTATGTATGTATGTATGTATGTATGTATGTATGTATGTATGTATGTATGTATGTATGTATGTATGTATGTATGTATGTATGTATGTATGTATGTATGTATGTATGTATGTATGTATGTATGTATGTATGTATGTATGTATGTATGTATGTATGTATGTATGTATGTATGTATGTATGTATGTATGTATGTATGTATGTATGTATGTATGTATGTATGTATGTATGTATGTATGTATGTATGTATGTATGTATGTATGTATGTATGTATGTATGTATGTATGTATGTATGTATGTATGTATGTATGTATGTATGTATGTATGTATGTATGTATGTATGTATGTATGTATGTATGTATGTATGTATGTATGTATGTATGTATGTATGTATGTATGTATGTATATAAGAAACTGAGCCAAGTCAGGCAGATCTGTCTAGTGTAATGCACTCGGATGTGGTAAGCGATCCTTGATTTGGTGGTCTTGTGGAGGATACCCCTGCAGTTTGTACGGGCTGTCACTCTGAATGAGAATTTGTAAGTTGTGGAGGTATAAGCGCCTCCTCACCAAGAAGCCATCAGCAAATATGAACAAAGCGGTTACAAGCCATTAGGCCTGAAGGTAAACTTCTCATTGGCTTATGAAAAGTGGCCGTCTTCAAGCGTCCTTTTATTCGGGAGTACGCCCGCTCCTGGGCTTTCTTTGAATGTCAAACAATAATATAATGCAGTTCCACAATTTCTGTTTCAGCCTTCACCTTCCATCAAATGCAGCGACGGAACTTGGACACCAGACCAGAGGCTACTCGCATACTTCATCAGTAGTGTGCACCGTCGCACCTGTAGGAGAAACTTGCGCAATGTGTTCAAAGCTTACGTGAATGTTTTAGGTACATATTGTATTAAATGCGTTTGATTCGGCACTATAGTCCAAAGTGACCCAACGTAAGGCATACACAGCTCGTACCTTCATGACTACTCGCCTTCACTGAGTGGAAAACGATAGTTGGTCACTTTTATCTTGCCACCGTTAGGCGACTGCATAGCTGGTTCACAGAATTTACAAGAATACTTTATCCGTTATGCCCTTTCTTGCCAATGTGCAATGACGGGTCGGATACAAAAACCTTGGAAACAACCCACCGTCAGTAATCAGTAACGCTGGAGACATGTTGATCAAAATGGTGCATCATTTATTTTTTGAATAGCTAAGGGGCGTAAAACGGGGTCCAAAAGTACACCAGAGTAATGCAAGATTGCCCTCCAACTGGCCTAGTGTACTTGACAGCTGACAATAACAATGTCCCTGTTTGTCCTCGTGAATAAAAAGGAGCCTAAAACGTTAAAAAGGATCCGCGACGTGGCCAGCAACCGAGAAGGCGTCGCAACACTATGCTTCTTTGGAACCAAGCACAATACTATGATTTCAATTGTAGAAATCGTTTTGCAAACCAATTTAACCCTCTTTTACAAACGAAAAGAAACACTGGTCGGCCACCAATTAAACTGACAGATACTCTTTGACCTGTTTTTGTTCCACGTATGCCATGACTTCACGAACACTAAGTTACTTCTCGCGGGACACCAAGAAAATCACGTTAACTTACCCCGAGCACAACAGTTGTTTTGGCGACAGCCTAAAATCTGTTGTGTCATGGTATGATGTACAGTCAACTACGGCGTCTTTGTAAGGATACCAGGATCGTTTGATTTAGCATCCTATTCCATCTTGTGGGCAACTGGATCAGCGATATTGTGTGATGATCGGTCATGTATTTTTCCTCAATGAAACCAGCCCAATCACCTCTAACTTAGTCAGTATGACATGTTCAATAATAGCATCAATTCCGCGAGTTGACACGGGCTAACAGCTTCCGAATCTATACCGAAACGTACATGTCATCACTGTACAATGATATCCATAAGTTTGGCGTTCCACTCCAGTGAGAAGTAGTTAGTCAACGAGGCTTTGAAGGTCCGCTGAGTTATCTACCTCCGAGAACACCCAGAGACCATCTAAATAAGAGTTTTTGGAAATAAAAAAATAGGCTTGTTTCCGGTAAATGTTCCATTTTTGAGTAAATTGGCTCACAGAAGGGTGGTTGAAGGCTCAATACATACACCTAGATGTAATGGAACAGTTTACACCCCCTATGCAAGATTAGATCAGTAATCACAAACCGCACGTCATCACGGTGGCACTATCTGCTTTAGAACCTTCATCTGACATTGCGGACCATCTCAATATCGAATTTTCCTCGGAGCTGTTTCAAAGGACATAAACAGAATGATGAGTTCCTCATTGTGGTTGCTCGCCTGTGTCGACTTTGGATACGCTTTTAACAACATGGTTAATAACTTAAGTTGCAAGCAGCTTCATGATTCCGTGTACTAGAGGAGAATTCAATGACCGCTTACGGAGACCCAAGCAGACATTGTAAACCCCCATGGCTAAAGACTTTACTGTTGAGCCCACTACTTTGTCTGTCTAAACATTACCCTTATGGAGTTCACTTGTCCAGAGGAATCGTCATCGTACCTTTGGAATCTTGTGGGACATCTTGACTCTGCCAACCGTTGCGCCGTTCGTGGACAAGCCCTCTTTACAGCCATGCCATCATGTCCTGTTTTTCTTCCACGTTGCAACAATTTTATGACCGCCTTTAGTTCCGCTGCAGCAGACAGACAAGCCAGTCAAGTCTCCATTTTAAGTAAAAAGCAATCGAGTAGCATAACTCATCCACCTCTGCTGGTGGATCACGCAAATTCGATTTACCCAGGTTTGTGAGGCATTACTAAAGTTAGATTGTCTCTAGGAAGTAGAGGTATTTGGATCGCGGTTGCAGCAAAAGTCCCTTTCGACTATGGCCATTAAATTACAACTAAAGCTCTTCTATTCGGTTGGTCCTTAGTTCCTTTTCTAGTTCTCACAAGAGTTTCGGGAGCTCGTCCCCATCGCACCAAGTCGCTTTCAGAAGCAGTTTCTCATTCGGATTGTTTTAGCGATCACTAAATTTACTTCTTGAATCAAGGCAAGTATTATTGAATAGTTCATTCTCGTTGAGAATCATAGCCAGTGTGCGCGGATCTCCACGGGGATTTGAACACGCAACCTCTCAGCTGGTTGGTGAACACCTAACTGTTTTGTCCCCAGTTGCTGAGTAACAGTATGGGAAACCCGTGCTTGGACAGCCCCAAGAAGAACGAAACATCGGTGAAGCACTTCACGGTGGTCTGGCGTAGATTTAATTCACTCATATGATCGATCTGGGGTTAAACACACACTTGAATTTTCTATCTAAATGTGACACTGTGGAGGCTTGTGTGCCAGCAAATATGCAGGGTTTTTCTTCCTTGAAAAGGGATATTGAGCAGCCATCGTTCTCGAGTTGACGAATTTTGGCTGATTCAGTATTGATCAGTTTACATTATCATGGTAACGTCGGTCTTAAGAACTAATCCATCATCGTATATCTACCCCTTAACAGCCATCGGGGTCACGATTACCATGGTTTATCTTTTAGGTATGGCTAGTACACTCTTGTTCAGGACAGCCATCACAATCCAGGTTGGGAGCCGCAGAAGAATGGTCTACTTCATCTCTGCGGATGGCACTTTGTGTGGGAATGTAGCATTCGTTTTATTTCTGAGACTATATTTATATGATTATTTCCTGTACCCACCGAGAGAATTCAGCTAGAAGACCCATCTTCGAAGGCAGTCGGCGCTGAATTTACCCGACAACAAGGGGACTGAGGCTCACTCACTGCGCACAATATGCTTTTCGAATAGCAACCGGTTCCTTGGTCTATGAACAATTGCTGATGCATTCGGACGATTGCTATGTGCAGCCTTTATGGTCAAACTTTTCCAAAACCTCACCCTTCGGTTGCATACATATTACTCTTCTATTTGATTACACATTGGGCGATTTTTCCAATGGTGACAACGGGTGTGACCAATTCATTTTCTTCACGGAACGCAAGGTTCTCTACTTAACGGGCAACAAGGCCGAGTGACAGCCACTCACCCCTTAAGTCGAGAGCAAATTGTTCCACATAAAAAGACGGCAATCTGTTGCGAACTTTATATTTAAGTGACGACCTGGAAATACTCAGTTCAGTTTCTGTTTTCGGGCCGGATCAGATGGTCTTCTGTTAAGTGGGAAACGATTAACTCTAAACTATTCGAGCAACCACGAAAAAGCATCACTTTTTTGTCAACACATGGAAATTATACAAAGTAGTTATGGACCACTTGACAAATCTACATCGTGAGAAGCCCGACAGCGGTATCCCAGAACGTAAAGAATGATTGACGGCAGTTTTGGACTTGAAGTTTTCATGTTTGGGTATAGATTAACTTACCTTCGTGTATACACCGATTGCCAGACGCAATAAAACACAGACGCCTCGTGGAGATAACATTGACCAATCCGGATCACAAACGCCGCTCGGTGCTGCTTCTCTCTTGGACGAGCTGACGTTCAGAACGTGTTCCAAACATTGCCAAAGTCGTTCATGCATTTTGCCTGATATCCACTGGCGCATAAACAGTCCATCAGGCTGGACATCAAAATATGTAGCGAAAGAAACAAAACTGATTAGTATGCACAAAGGATCATAGATTATTCGGCAGGTTCACAGAGCTCTTAATAGCAATTGAGTCAGTCGACTAACGCAATCAATGCAGTTTCCGAGTCAGGGAACCAGACTAACCCTATGTATTGCTCGAGCCGTTTTACTTTCGGTTTCTTCAGTTTATGCTAATAGATTACTGGAAAGCTTAGTTCGCGTGTCAAACGACCAAACTTTTAATACCGACGAAAGTAAAACCTCTTCATCGCGAAGTTGGCTGTTAGAGAACATCAACTAAGCAGCTATAAGCCATTGGACAGAAAAGCATGCGTTTCATTTGGAAATAGTTTTAGAAACTGAACGTTTTCACGCATCTTCTTGAACTTCCATGGTATTCATTGACTAGTACCCAACTATAAACGAACACTGCAAAGCGGTTCCACATGTTCCGTAATAGACTTCACCTTTCATTAGACCCGAGGCGGGGCCTCGACACGACCACAGACTACTCGTATGCCTCATCACTAGTATGCGCCTTTACAACGGTCTGGGAATGAATGTGCTCCACCAATAAGCCATAATATAAAGAAAACCTCTATTCAGCGTTTCTTGGTTGACCCGAAATTATCTACTTACTCGCACAAGACTGGAATTTTTTGACTGGCGCTAAAAAGCACAAAATCAAACTACCAGCATTCTATTCGTGCCACAAATTGTCGGTAGAATGCATCTCAGTAACCTCCAGAAGGGTCTAAACACAACCTTTCGCCAACCAGTTGGACGCCACAGAATCCATCTACGGGTGGCCAGCTAGCGTGCATTTATGCAAGTGATTTCACTAACTTTCGTGAAATGAAACAGCTGTGTAGTTTCGTTCAGATTTACAGCCTGGGTTGCACTTGTAAGCCGTGTGAAATGTATACCTTATTCATGAGTGGTCGGACTGTCTAAGTCATCAAATTACGTGACCCCCAGAGTAGAGAGTAGGTAACTGGCAGTCAGAGGGTGACGTGATAGGTGCCGTTTAATCCCACCTGATAAACTCCAATAAGAATGAAGGATATTCGAACTTCCTTGGATTTGGCTACCCCTTTCTTAGTAACAGGCCTTTCAATCTCAAGCTTACGGTATCTGATTATTAACTGCCCTATGCAACTCGACGGCCAGTTTTTATAAATTACTTGACATGCGCTTTAAACTAAGGTGGGAACCACCGTCTGTAATTTAATCTTGGAGCCGTTCCTGCTTTGATTGGGGAGAGAAGTAAAATCATCTTCAGCCAGTACCATGAGCAGTCAGCCAGTCACATCAGAGAAGGTTTGCCGTAAGTAGGGTAAAAAATGAAGGCCTGTTACATGCTGGAAAGTCTAGTTCAGGCAAAATGACTGGCACCATAAATTCAATCTTACTATTGAAAAACCATGCATAATCATTCCCGGACACCGAAGCTGTTAGAAATCTGGTGGGCGAATAACCAGCGATATTCAGTAATCTGCATAAAGAACATTCAGTAAATCTAATTAATGGCATCTGAACCCGAATGCTAGAGCATACTTGTGAAAAGTGAACCAGAGCCAACTCCACTACTCCGTCCAGCCATCCGTGGTTGGCGGGCCAGTTCAACTGTGGTATTCCAAGTGTCATAGGTAGCTCGAGTTCTTCAAGGGCATCGTTTGAACCCCCAGGAGTGCGAGTCGTTCTAGCACTCACGTTTTCGCTCATTGCAAGCAAAAGCCTGCAACGTGATGCATGGCTTTGTGCTAGCGGGGACATGAAGATGCGCCCGATGGCTTGGGCCAATTCACGAGGTTGGACATTGCCTTCTTTGGACTCACAAGGTCCCAAACGTGAAAGCACCAAACCTAGGGCAGCCTAACAACGTATGGGAAGAAGTATTAGTGGCGTAAGTATGAACCTCCAAGTAAAAGAAGTGAATTTCAATCGTCGATTTGCTTTTATTTCAACTTTATTAGTAATTTTGACGTGTTTTGTAAAGAAAAGTTCTGCCAATATTAAAAAGAATACTGAGAGCGGGTACAGAAATGAAACAAAAGTGGGCAATATGAGAGCCATGCCATGAATTAGTCACTGACTATGTAGTTTGAGACAGCAAAGAAAGATGCTGTATGATGCTCTCAACCGGACGGTTCGGAAAATCTTCTGCCGGTAGCTGTTCTCTATAAATCCATCACTTTATAGATAGAACCCTCAGAGATGTTTGAACATCGCTTAGGTTGCGTGATACTTTTCCAAGTGCATACTGCGGAGGGTAAAGCTTGCTTTCATAGGACACACATGTGTGCTCTATCATTCCAGGAAAGAAGAAATGAATCTGCACAGTGGTAGATGAATGCTGCTCAGACTCACATAACTCAGGAGTAATCGCTTATTTTCGACAAAATTTGTAGGATGGTGATGAGGTTCAACAAGGCCTAAGCCTCTCAGACTTCAAGTGTAGGTTGAATCCTAGAGTGAGATGATGTGCAAACGTTGACGCCATAGACGAAAGTGAAATTCGGACGCCAATAATTCAAACAGGTGCACTTGTGTGTGCATTTGATGCGGGACATCTAGTATTCACATTTGCGAAATACTAATTGATAGGCTAAATGTACGATGACACTAAGCGGACTGACCAATTTTATCAACTTAGCTGAGTTAGGCTGTCATGGCTACATGCCCATCCAAATTACTAATCTGCTAGTAAAGAGAATGAACTGCATCAAGATAATTGTAAGGGGAACAACAAGCAGCTGTAGATCTGATAAAACTTCGATGGCTCAGCCCAGTAACAATTCACTGCTACCATTGTTGATCATCAGTCTTTAGGTTTCATTAGAGTTTCCACAGACAAAGTGAAACTGGTTTTGTTGGTACTGTATGAGTGGAGGGACGACTCACCAATCTGCACAGAGGGGGTCGCGACAAGTCGTACTGGAATGCTGCCCCCAAATTCTGCAAACACTAGCTACGTTTTAAACACTATTCTGCTAACAGTATGAGCAAGTACCAGACAATCACACCTGCCCAAATGAACAGTGCCTCGACATTTTTCAATCAGGGAGATACCGGAAGCCTGACCAGGTCTCTACCCCAAAGAGGAAAACTAATCTCGGAACATTTTTTTCCAAATGACACAATATTAGGACACGTAAGTTTGTACCGTGTCGTGTTGGTGTGTACTTACTGCGTGACTGGGAACTTGGGACTCAACGAACATACGGTAGAGTTGAGAGCCGGATTGCCTTATGCTGTCAGACAGGAAGAACAGACAGAAAGAACACAATGATAAGATTTTCCTGTTTCCAATGGTGACCGGGATGAATACTAGCGCAAACAGTGTCTAAACATTTCTCCCACCCCGGTGAATACAAGCATTCAGCATGCAATGTTAGATGCTCATTCGGAATTCAGCTATGGATCAGTTGCAATTCCAAAGTGCTTCGAAAAAAGAGTTGCCGGGATTTTGGAACTGTCATAAAAGCAACCAGAACGTGACGACACTGCCAATAAGACGCAGCCTATTGCCAATCTGGAATTTATGAGCGCAAGTACACCACTGAGTTCTTCCGACTGAAAACCTGTTTCAACTGTGAACTGTTTGATTACCCTCCTTAATGTCCGGAATTTCAAAAACAACATCCAGATAAATACAATCTGTTAATGCCGTGCTTACTGTGTATTCAAGAAAAAGATCACAGGGTTTACCAGGAACACGTATCAAACATACGTTTCCGTTTTGTTGTTGATAGTTTCATGTAATCTACGTTTTCTAAGCTTTAATATTGTTGCTTTCTGATGCATAGAGCCTATCAGGTCAACCATGCCGACAGTCTGTAGGCTTATTTAAAAATGAGAGGATTTATGGTAGTGTGACATCTAATACTCCCGAGGAACATCCTTCTTCAAGGAATACCTCGTGGAGAAACAAGCACGCGTGCATTTCTCCATTCAAGTATGGAACTTGTCTTTATCAAGAAGGTACGCTGACGAGTCCCACGTGCTAGAAAATAATTTTAAAAAAGCTTCCCACTGGCTGTTCCCTCCAGGAAATTCCTCAAACAAATTCTTGACAATGAGGCTTCAAATATATGGATCCACAATAAGACAAGATGCTCTCAAGTATCCCCTATTTGATCGTTGTGGTTGGTTCTTATGGTAAACTAAGTTCTAGAGTTTACGTGGTTATCACTTTCTTTTGAAAGGTCCCAGCAGAATTTTTGGGAAGAATAGCTAGAAAAACCACGTGACGAGTTGGGGTGTCCCCCAATGGACACATTTTGACCAAAATGATATAAGCCTCTTGGGTGAATCAGTTTGCGAATATGCTTTGGATGGAGGTGAAAGCACATTTCTAGCCTTCAGAAGCGACTGTAGCTGTGTAGGACTACGCGGTCCTCTACATTCACAATTCTTGTTCTGCTTAACTGATATAGCAAGTGGAGTAACAAGGACTTTTCTTTCGAAGTAGATCTTGTCTTGACTCGAGAATAAATTCTATCGTGGTAGTTTATAGAGTCTTCTGGATAGTTATTCCTCTTCAGTGTCAAGTACACGAAATTTCATGGTAGCTCCATAAGGATCCGTAAGCGCTTTTATTGTGTGTCGAAAACCGTAAAGTCTCTGGATTGTCCCGCTATCACGATATTTGGTAGACTAGCAAACAACATGTAGAATAGGCAATAGTTGTTGTTCCCAAATTCACGTGCGAGATCTCTTTGGTTTTAGTTTAGGTTTATACTAAAATTTTGCTAAGCACTACTCGAAGTGCATGGTTTTGAAAGTACTGTAATCTGAATTTGTCGCGCACCTCGATTCGAAATAAATCCTCCAAGGCACTAATGTCGTGAAGACTGAAAATAGCGCAAATTTTTTCTCTAATCGAAAAATTCATCGCGAATAAGATAGTTTATCTGGTGGACTCGTGCTGGTCTTGGTCAGTTTTCAGAGCTCGCCCACCGGATTCAGCCAACAGTGATTTTACTAAGTTTCCATAGGTAAGCTGTGTCCTTGCGCAGAGTAGTGGATCAAAAAGGGGGACATTATGATTCGGGTTTGTCCATGATTACATAAACTTGAAGCTTTTAAGTTCGTTCGATTCAAATAATCCAGGTGCCTTTGGGGTAGCTTCAGTAAATCATCCTCTGTGTACTTTATGTCGACTGCGCGGCCGCACACATAAAAAACGGGAACGGCGTCCCTCCTTTTTTGGCATTTAGTCATAACTGAATGCTACAGAATCAAAAATATTATGCTGTCAAGTGGCACAGAAAACCCACAACTTTTGCTGATACCTCCGATGAAGTCACGTCACATCATGAGCATTCCAACGTGCACGCAACTGATAGTCTGTCGACAGTGAATTATTTGTGCTGACCGCTCATCAGAAGCGCAAAAAGTTTGCCATCGCAATTGAATTATACATTTCTTATCGTGGGGCATTCCTCCTCAGCCGCAAGCATCAAAAAAGTTCAACCGTCAGTCTTGACATGAAAGTAACGCGATTGCTCGACATGACATTTGTGTCGAATTCCTAACCACTGTGATTCACATTTTCACCAGCATTTGTTCGCAAATGTTAGCAAATGTTATAAGATTAACACGCTGCGAAAATACTACTGACTTACATTCAAGGAATAGGAGTGCAAACTGACATAAACACGCGAGACATAAACGAGTAGTCTGGTGTTCGTGTCGGATGTCAGTTATAGTCGTCTATGGTGGTAGTGAAGTAAATTCACCCAAATGAATGGCAAGAAAAACATAGATCAGGCTATGGCCTAATGCACTGTCTTATGGTTGACCGAAAAAAATTCGATGTGAACCAAGCGTAGATCATGCAGTGCCCACCGCTGGTGGCAGCCATGGGCCTGCATCTTTGGAAATATAAATTCGCCATACCTAATAACGTTTCCAAACACCAGACACTTCGTCTATAGCGATCAACTGGTACTCAGCCTGGTGTTTCCAGCAAATGATTTCAATTACTTATAGTTTTCGGCATTCTTTTTTAATTTGTCACACGGTTCATGTTTCTTTGCACGTCAGAAAATGTATAGAACGATAATATGAGCAAGGATCTTAAGAAATCCCAGCACTACGGAATGCTTTTGGTGAGATAAAGCTTGTCGGAACGACTATTTTTCCAGCACTAGGAAAACTCTCGGACCCGTGAGCTTCAACTTTAAAATCCTGGACTCTGACTTATAAAATAGCACATGTTCTCAGGCGAAAATTTGTTGTGAATGCTAAGCACTCCCATGGATAAGGATCGCTCTGAGAAACTTTCCCCATGCATTCCGCGCTTAACTACTAAATTGTCCGTCAGTTAATTAGGCCAATGAACAAATTTTCGTGGAGCGTGCGTATTTATCACTGGGGAAAATCTAGCGAACGTATGTTGGACTTGAACATACCATGCGCGGCCAAGCGAAACAGAACCATCCCGTTTTGACCACTGACAAGGCCAGTAGGAATAGGTCACTCAAAACATATGCTCACTTTTGGTTAGTGTTAGCATTCGGTGACCTTCGTTGAAGTAGAGTGGTGGGAATACAGTGACTAGCTCCCGTAGAAACCACCCCCATTGAATGGCACTCCCAGTCGATTGGAAAAATATTCTTCACGAGAGAGACCGACTGCTGGTTTCTGAAGTTTTCAGTCCCGGATTTCATTAATCCTGCCGTAACTTCCATCTGGATTCTTATCAGACAGGCGTCAAGAGGCATCTTCGTAGAGTATACCGGTGAATTCTACCGGGTTTTAAACTCTCTAAAGCAGCCCAGCTATTCGATAAAGTTTGGCCTTGAATTTCTTCATTCCAGTAGACGTTGATTAATCCGTTTTTACTGAAAGTACTTTCCACCTGTTTGAACATTCGACCATACACCATTCCAATCGGGGTTTTTATCCGAACAGCTTTATTCGTTGCTCGGTTTGCACAACTGAATGGGCCTTTCAAGAAGCCCGCAACATCATATCCGCATCGTAAATTATATTGTAATTACACACCAAGTTTACTGTGTTCACCCCCGGCATGTTTGTAGAACAACCTAATATTATGATCAACACTTTGAATAAATTAGTGAGAGACTTACTTAATTATACCCTAAATCGTCCCTACCGGCAGTTTAGAGAGCTAAGCAGAGGTCAAACAAAGATTTTCATCCAGCTTTGTGTTCTTTGTGCTTGCATGCTGTGGGGATATCTCACCACGAGTTTCCTGGACGCCGTGCCAAGCAACAAAAACTTTCTTGCGATTATCTGTTGCGTACAACAAACTACGGGAACTGTCAGTGAATCAGTGAGTGAATCGCGAGCACGATCACGCTGCGGAAGTCTTCAGTAGTGTCTTGGTCATTGTGGTGGATAGAGGAGTGGTTCTGTATATTTCCTATTGAATATTCGGAATCCCGTGCGTGAAAAATCACTAGTAGGAAGCTGTGGAAGTACATTGCTAGAGAAATATCTGGACTAAAAACCAGAACCTTGTAACAAGAACAACGTCAATACGACATCCTGTTCCGTCTGAAAGGAACTAAGTATTTGGTACAGTTCAGGCTGCACACTTAATGCCAAGCAGTTGCACTTGAGTGCACATGGTACTCCTGTATATACTGACTCATCGCAGTTCGCTTATTGTTACGATAACAGATTAGCTGCGCACAGGCTCATCAAGGGCTCTGGGTAGTCTAAGGAGGCATTTCACTTGACGAATGGGAGCAGACATAAAGTCATGTGCCCGTATAGTCGGTTTGGTTTTCTAGGTTACAAGTTTCCCCATAATACTATATGAGCACATACTAGTCAACTTGACTCAACATATGCGATGCAAACCAGTAAGTTCTCATGATTTTGTTCTTTGTAAAAGATGAATGTATGGAGAACACAACAGATTTTTTAATGAACAGTAAATCTGTGTACTCCTAGTCATTCCAGCAAGATCGACGGGAAGTAGTCGATGTAGTGGAAAATCCCGTGCACTGTTTGCTCTTTGAAGACGAACTGTGTGGTTGTGACAAATTTTCTCCGACTGTGGCTATCGGAAGGCTGGATTTGGTGAAAGAGACCAAAACCGTCTATGATTAAAATGCACTTCGTAGCACCAATCCTTAATGGAATGACTTGTCTTAAAAAACAAGGTATTTACAGTAAATTTAGGGGGATATGTTCGGTGGAACCATTCTGGGTCTCTATGCATCCATCGACAAAGGCATGGAACAATAGTGCATTCTGAAATAAATTAATTTGTTTACGGTACTTGCTGGAGTGTTGACAGTGTTGGTATGTGAATATCTTGTCCGTTCTATTGGGAATTTATTGAACGAATCACTGGTTTTTTCACTTTTGTAGTCCGGTATAATGTTAGAAAGCCAGCAAAAAATGACTTCTATCTCACACTCGTGTGACTTTTACTTCCCCGGTATCACTGATCCACTTTTTGACTTCGTAAACTTTAACTTTTCTTCTAGGCGACCATCCAGTGTGATGAACACCAGCGGTAAAAACAGACTCGGGGTCAACATGTAGTATTTCAAGAATCAGGCCGCAGTAAGATGATTATCAAAAACAGGGATTTCCATCATAACCAACCGAATTCAGGGAAGAAAGACCACAACGCAACACAAACGGGAACGGACTAATCGAAAACGGACTTGAAACAGCCCCAAAACAGCCATCCAAGCAATCGATGGAATACAAGGCACCCAGACAATAACGAGGCGCAAATCAAAATCGGGCCAATAATATTACAAGAAAGGCGTATATCAATCAGCCTATCACACGACAGAATATTAGATACTCTATAAAAACTTTGTAAAGTCAGCTAGGCACGGAGGAAACACCCACTCAACTGCTCACTGACGAAATCTCCTCCTCTGGGGACGAAAATTTGGCAAGCCGATTGCCAAGCTCAGTGAACAGATCAACTGTCATTTGACCAACCACCAGTTTGCGACCATTGATGAATTTCTTATAGATAATACATAGACTATTTATGATGTTGAGTCAATTTACCAACAGAACGGCCAACTTTTGACCGAAAAGTTGAGTGCGACGTGCTCAAAGCAGTACCGTTGGGGGCATTAGTCAGACTGCACATTCGGTCTGCCCAGAGTGGGGAGTTATACAACATTTGGTAAACCAGTGAGTGGTAGGCGAGACGTTAAATAAGCACCCTGTTCAAAATGCTACACTTGGCAGCAACGAAAATAAATTGCCTCTGGTGTAAGTGTCCTTGTTCATCTTCTGAACTTACACATCAGGAACTTGGCCCAATTGGACAATAAGTGCACTGAGCGAATGTGTGACGATCTCCGTCAGCGTGAACTGATCCAATTCAGAGACAGGCACCTGTGAAGCAATTTCAAAAGTGTTAACGAGTGTATGAGCTAAACATTCAAATAAAGAACAATTTTCCCCTAGCAAATGAAATTTATAACAAATGGATCATTAAAATGGAACAGCGGTTGGTTGGTTGGTTGGCCGATGTAGCTAATTCGACCCATAGAATCATTCGATACCAATCACTCTGGTGTTTTGACAAGCGTCAGGCAACTGTTTATATGTAAGTCGAGTTGGGGAAATTAGCAAGGGAAAACCGAAAAAAATCGACCGGAACACTGAGGTGTTCCAAGATTTGCATATGAATGATGGGATGTCGGTTAATTAGGATGAACACAGGAGGTCATATCAGATAAATCAAGCTGTTCCCCTCTTTTGTGATTGTACATTCAGTCGTTTTCCATTCTTTGCTCAGATGAATTTGTTCATCAATTTGGACAACAGTTTGCTCGGTAGAATAGTGAACAAGCCCAAAGTTCTGCAACGTAGACGGTCCCATTCCGAACGTTTGCATGATCAACTAGTTATGTGATATTTTGCTGGGCAACGAGTAACTAACAACAGGACACAGAAACTTCCCCTGAGTGAATAGTAAAGCTTCGATTGTTCGATTTGTAATTCTTTTGAGGCATAACTTTACTATTTTTGTAATAAATTAACTGTTGTTTAATGAAGACGGGATTCGAAAAGAACCAAACGTATTTTTGATTCAACAAGCAGTATGACTTAATATGAAGAAAGACTGCACGGAAGAATAAGGTATCAGAGTATTTAATTTGGCATTTGTTACAACTTTTATCAGTCATCAATCGATTTCGGACCTTATGGAATACCAGTGGGCCGCTCTTCTGGTCAATTGTAGTCTAAATTAGAAGTAGTCACCAGATTTCTGTTCAGTGTTGGTTTTTTATGTGAAGTTTCACCAAACCTTTACTGAAGATTGCACGATCTGTTAAGACCGTCCTTAAAAGTAAAATAATCAACTATCAACAGTAATATGGCATTAATTCTCAGATTATGGAGAAAAAAGTAACAAAATATATTACCTCTGAAGAAGATTTTAGATAGTACGCAATTCGGGAATGAGATTAAATTGTATCTACACCCGCCTGCCCTAGCGCAACATTTGTATTCGAGTTTCTCTAGGCCCCGTCTACTGGCAGAGTATGGTGCTAATAACTCTCTAGCGCACATTAGAAATGTCCGAATTATCACAATAGCCGCATCGATTAATGAGTCGCCTAGCAGTGCTCTCCGGCAGGATAGTGTAACAACGGACTACCTGTTAGCATGAAATCCCAAATACCTCCACATAATAAGGTAGGCCAGAAGAACTTCAGCAAACACCTAAGTGGGATGTGAGTGTGTGTAAGTACTCTGACCACCTCTGGCTTTCCGTTCTTATAAAAATAATTCCGGACTCAGTGCGGTTCAGAAATCACGGAAGAGTATTTATCATGATAGATAAATGTCATTTATTCTGCGGAGTACAGCACTGGCCAGATATGTGACCATTGCAGAAAGCTATAAAACGTGACCATCATTACCCCGATACTTTTTTATGAGTATTTGAGTCATTTTAATCCTTTAAAAATTTTCCGTGTGTCTTATCTTTGTTTCATCCCATAGTACACCTAGAAAACAGACGCTAAAATATCACAGTGAACGAAATAAGGACGGCAAACTGGGATGTGGGAATGATGTTAGTTTTATTGACACATAAATTATTCGGGTTGGTAAAAAGGTTGTATGAGGACATTATCGTACTACTGAAACCACAAAAAACAAGGTAAATGTTTCCAGCATTTTTGTGTTGCCAGACAAAATACAAACACTGAACAAAACGAGTGCTGATCTCATCAGAAATTGAGTCAAAGTCGGCTTAGAGGTCTGGTAAAAAAGTGCAAAAGTCGCTGTGCAGTAAGAAGTGCTGGGTTTGAAAGATCAGAGGACTTTTTGGAGACAAGTCAACGAATATTCGCGGCATACATTAAATTCCCACGACTTTAGAGTCTGCAATATTTGTGCAATTCTATGATTGGTGGGCGCAGCGGACCGTCGAATGTCGCACACATGCTAACGGCAACCGCAGCAGTGGCTCAGTAATGTGGGCTGTCGGTCATCCCATCGGAGATCGGCCCCAGAGTTCCGATGAGTGCGACTACTCGGGTTTCCAGCAGAACAACCCAGAACGAGTCGAGATATAACAGACAATCAGATACACTGACCAACACATGTTCAAGCACCGGTGTCAGCCAGGACAGTGGTTATCGTGAGGTATGAATTCTGGGACATTCGTAAATCACGCGGAACATTATGTGCATGAAGACGAAGTATGTCAATGAATTTGCGGGGGGGGGAGTAGAAAGCGAAAAACTGAATCAAATAGGTATAATATTTTCTTAACATATGATACTATTTATAAAATCATTGAAAACCCTTTGACAGTGCACTATCAGTTCTGATCTTAGTGGGTCCACTGCCTTGATTAAACCAGAGAATTAACTGGACCTCTCGTTTACGATTTTTTCAGGTGTGCTTCTACATGTGAATGTAGGAACCACAGGAAATTTCAAGATTCTGCTAAAGCTGTCCAGACGAGAGCCTTAGAGCACACATACTAAAACCCAGGGTTCCGTAAAACAAGAGATCATGTTGTTCCCAATGTAAAAGTGCGGACTGGATTTCACAGACAAAGAGCACTGTTGATTTTGAACATCACAGCAGATAAGCACCTTTGTTCGAACGGTAAGTGATCCAGTAAACATTATGAGTGAGTGTAACATACAGCCCTGAAGATCTGAGAGTCTGTGGTTCTTGCCTACTCCATTTGTCCATTAGTCCGCATCAATGCTTAGACGAAGTGACTGAATCCAAACTGTGTATCTTATCGACATGGCTTGCATGACGTGTGTTTGATTACTTCTAGTTCATCTACTTTGTTGAACGCCATAAAAATCTAACGAAAGGCCAACTAAACTAAGGATTTCTCGGGGTATCAAGACAATCCCGTTCAGAATCCGCCACGGAAGAATAACTCAGTGCACAGGTTGTAACCAGAACTTTTCAGGCATAGAAGGTGAGTATTGGAGATAACGCTGACGACAAAGTTTATTGCTGGCTTTCTTTGGAAATAGGACTTGAGCGGCCTAACCTCGTAAAACTGACGTGTACCGCCACACATTAGTTTAACTAATTTCCGAAGAATATTCCATCTAGTCATTTAGTGTAACGCACAAAAGTGAAAAATTAATGACGTTTTTTCATTTATCTCACTACGGTTGAAGGCTGCAATCACTCGAAAAGTTTTCAATGGAATTCATAGCAGCAGAATAAAATGCTCCGAAATAAAACCGGTAAAATAATGTCTCCTCTAGATGGTGGGAAAATTTGCAAGCAGAAGTCATCACATTAATTTCTAGTCTATTAAACCATAGACGAAGACAACAGAATAGTTCATGTGCTTGGAGACACTTACGTTTTTGTGTAAAAGTTCAAACATTGCCTCCAAGTAGACGGGAAATTTACTCACGCAGTACCGAGCAAACGAAGCGTCCGCTTGAATGCAGTCGTAGAATAGCTGGAAGAAAGTACCATCGATAGAACAGTTGAGAAGAGTTATCGATTAAATGGATGCAGGGCAGCTCCAACATCCTGTACAGTTTAGCCCCAAATCTTTTTATCGTAAAACTACGAGAGAGCATGTCGCCAGAAGTTGGTCGTTACCTGAACACACTCTGCTCTTATATATCATTGTCTCATGGGTGTTCAAAACGATATTGATGGTGATATAGTGTATAGTTTTTCCTTGCTATTTCATGGTCTTCGAAGTGTAAGAGTATTTAATACTAGTGTTGACCTTGTCTCTGCTCCCATTGTACGCTGTGTTCTATAGTTGAGGAAGGTAGTGCCAGCACTCCACTCTTCATATACCATCACCAAGCGAAATCAAGTCAGATGCATTTAAGTGGAACACTAATATCCTAACGCCCCCATTATGTTCTGTTTTCGTCGAATGGTAGAAATGTTTCACCCTAAATAGATATTACTCATAATATTTTAAGTAGCGAAAAATCAACGAGAAGATTCCTTCTGCGATGCAGTCTATCACGTTTGTTGGAACCAGTTGGTTTGTCTAACTCAGCAGGACATATGGCGAGAGAAGACCAGCTGATCTTTAGTGCCGTAGTTCTCCCGGTCATTTTCCGCACTTTGCAGCGAATGCGTGTCCAAGAATTTGATTTGAAATGGCTATGCCTATGCAATTTGGTTGTGCGTGAAAGCCTCGTCCACTAACTCAACAGCAGCTCACTAGCACTCACTTCAGGACATTAGAAGGATCTTTCAAAAATAATCAGCGCGAAGACCAATGCCATAGATTCTACAGCTACCCGAAAGTTACTTATCTGCTCCAGTCTCCAAACGGTCATTTAGTGGCGGTCGCTCAGCTGTGGGAACTGAGTCTACTGAAATACTAATGAATCCGGCTGCTACCCGTCACAGATTTGGGCACTGAACGAACTCGTCTTTTAACAGTGTGCCTACAAACGAGCAAGCAACCTGTATCTTGGTAAGCAAACTCATTCATGCATGCCAATGACTGATGAAAGGAATTTCGAAGTCCATGTAACTTCAGGGATTTTAACATTTGAAAGCTACATTTCTGCTAAATGGGACGAAAACAGGGACGAATATATTTGCGTCGTCCCACGGTTTGGTCCGTGAAGGGTTTTTTCTCTGGGCATTTTTTTCGGTCACGTAACGTAGCGTAACGTGGTCCCAAAGATGGGAAACTAAGGAGGCCTACGACTGATTTTGCTAGTGAGTCAAACTACCAAAGCTATTGAAAGATCGATTATGGTGTGCGGATGGAGTCCTTAAACGAACCCCAGTTAAAGGGCTTTGGCGTATGCTTTCTTACGCAAATTTCTAATCATCGAGTCTTTTTACGTTCATCATTTCTCCCCCACTTTACTAAAAATGAATACTCCATTAAATGTGATCAACAGGAACATATAGTGAAAAAGGTTCATACCTTTTTTTCTCGAAAGATCACACTACCTGAAAGCTGCTTAAAACTCTCCCACAGCCCAGTTCCCGGGGCTTCACTTCTTCCAATCAACTCACCCCAAACGAAGACTTCTTTAATGAGTTCGATATTCAGTGTTGCTAAAAGACCGGCACTATTCATTGTCTGTGAGTGTCTCTTGTATAGCTCAGCATTCCAGTGGCAATTATGTGCGAATTCTGTCGTAAAAGTCCCAACGCTCCATAGAATGGTGAAGTAGTCTGTCGCCACAAGCCTAGTTACAGACGATGCTCGCACCTCGATTGTGTTGCTTACTACTCCAAATGGGTTCGACAAACTTATACAATATCTGTAGTTGCCTCCAAGCAAACAGAGATGCAAACCGGCTAACTTCTTGAAAGATAATGGGTGCAAGATCATGGTGACCTTGGTGGTCACGAAAGAGTCAATTCTTTTCTTCAACATGAAGCCCCATTTCCGGGAAAGCTTAAAAGATTCTCTATCTGTATTACATTGTTATCAAATTGATCATCAACATCATCATTCCTTTGGAACCTTCTGAGCTTTTGCTAAACTCTGCCTGACGTTATCAATTACGATAGTGAGAGCCATTGAGATGGTTGACACTTAAGAGCTGATAGGAAGATCAAAACACTGTTTAAATGACAACTATGGATCCTCAAAATGTTACCCCAGAATCACTTTCTGGAAAACAACTAGGTCCTCACACGATATTCCTACCAAATAACCTGCAGGACACTGTAATAATCATGAACACATGTAATGGTCTACGGGATGCACAACTGAACACTCGAAAGTGCGATAATTTCTATAGATCTATGCAACTCACGTTTCCTTTTTTGGTCAGTTCTTGCCAAAATGGGCCCTAAATACTACTATGCCTCAAAATTGCTGAAAAAACTGCCAAAGAAGCCTGAGATCAGATATTAAAATAGTTTTTCGAACCTTTAGGGGATGGCATTCTTGTAAATTACTGGGTTTCAATTACGAGGTCCGTGCCAGAGAATATCCAAGCAAGGAACATTACACTGGGTCTACGACAGTAACTCACTTTGGCCGTGTGAATGCATAGGCGAGGCATCCACAAATAGGATATATACAGCCTCATGTGGGTTTCCATTTCCGATAAGCATAGCTGTTGTGCGACGTAGGAAGCAATCTGCGTGAAAAGAAATCGATATAAAGCATCGGATGTTATACTATGGATTATGCTATGATTGCTTTCCCCTGTATGGTTCTGTTTGTGGGCATGAAATTCATGCGATTCAATTTGATAATGTTTCAGTAAAGAGTCGTTGTTAGGAATTTGTTAAAACCTTAGTGGGGAATGCACTTCTTAGGGGGCTGATGAGTACTTCTGGTGTAGCTGCAATCTAAGTGGAATTGCGCCAGTCAGAGGCACAGTCACATTTTGGGCAGCGTCTGATACAAATGGTTTCTTATCACATTTCAGTGGCCCTTGTCTAACAGCTTTTAAGTCACGCGGTTGATTTGTGTTGCACGGGATTTGCCTCATCATCATCATCCTCATCATCAAAGACAGCAACACTAATGCTTCACCGTCGTACGATTTTTTATTTGCCTCAAAAAGTGTGGACTCATCGATTCATGCAGGAAACCAATGTTCCGGGTATTCCAAAGTTAGTAACCATGATTTCTATGCACTCAGTGACTATTGACATGCATTTAGAGGCTGTCTGCACACAGTTGTGAAATGAATTGCAAAACAAAGATTTGATGAACGGTGAAACGGTTAAACGGTGAGCCAACTCGCTGGCTTTGGACCAGCATGCGCTTGTCAAGCATTTTCATAACCCCCTGAGAATAATCCATATGTTATAGCACTTTTAAAAAGAGCAGTGAAGGATAGTGCAAAATCTTGCCCGATTTTAGGGGAGATTTAAATGAGCAAGCATGTGGTCAATTGTCTAGCGTTGTCTAGCGTTGTCAATTGTCTAGCTCAAAATTTTCACCGGATGAGAATGCACCTCTCTGACTAGCAATTAAAATGCATATACCACTCTTACTGATGAAGCGATGGTTGCGGACCAAAATTCATGAAAGCTTTGATTAAATTTATAGACTTCAAGTTTGATTTTGAAGATCAGCTTTAACATAAGAACTGTTACAGAAGTTTCTCAGTTAGGATAAAATGTCAGCAGATTTCCTTCCGGCCGCACAGAATAGGTTTACTCAAACTGCAATTGCTCAGCTGTAACACCCTTCTGGTGCCTAGCTGCCATGTCCACCGGAGGAAGCACGAGGGCCGGGATGCTGCCAGGTTGCCCAAGCCTAAACAGGGGAAGTCGGAATGCAGGAGTCGGGTTCGAACCAAGGACGCACTCTAACCACTGAGCCATCTCGCTCGAAATGCAATACGAAAACAAACCTAGAAATATGTCAGTTTTGTCTCTAAAGCTTGATTTGTGTGCTCTTCCACTGCACGGAAAATCGCAAATCAACTGTGTCACACCAGGAGGAGTAAATCACCTGGAAACTAAATCGTTTGGTTTATCGTTACCTGTAAATGTGCGTAGCATTTGTTCGCTTCTGATACTGGACTGTCTTATTATCACAGATATGCACCGGAATATTATGGGATATTCTTCGGCATGTGCCGTTGGAATGATAAACTCATGGTTTGGCAGAACGCACTCGTTTGCAAATGAGACTTGCGGTAACAACAGACCCTATTAAATCTCTTGATGATGCCATGCCTTACAAAGGCAATCTCACTTTTGAGGTAGCATGATATTCGAGATATGGTAGGATATTTTCTCAACAGAACACATTACTCGTGGGACTATTAAGCTCTTTTCAACGCCATACTTAAGGTTTAACTCCTCCTGGCCCTCACCAGATAGGTAGGTATGGTCCCAGAGAGATATTCATTTTCAAATTACGTTGGCGTTCCGTTACTTGCGTACAATCCGACGCTCAGTTGGGAACTCAGAGACCACACCTGCTTGATAAACCTTGAGAATGGGGAAGTCGGTATTCGAGTGTGAAAGGAGTTTTGCACAACCGTGTGGTTCGTGCGTTTGGTTGAGGAAAACTACATGGTTTAGTAAGCCAGAATGTTAACGTGAACATTGGGAACAACACTCCACTCACCTCATGCGTGCTAACCGATATTTGCCTTGGTCCCGCAACCCAGTCCACAACTGGGTCCATCATAGAGAATGCTTCGTCGTTGACAAAGAAGGACGTCGTTAGTGGATAAGTAAATGCCGTTAAAGCAGCCAAAGCGTGCTCTCGAACATCATCCAGTCGCTGTGGATCCAGTGCTGATAGAACACAGAAGAGTTGTCAAAACTGTACTGCAGTCGTAACAACTACATGAGCATCCAGGGCACTCAATGAGGATAGAATGCCCAACTTATCTCGGCTACCCTGGATAAGCCACCTATCTGATATGCTCAAATAAGTAATGAAGTGTAGTTCCGATTTTTCTTAAACGTTCATTTGACAACAATGTATCAGCCGACTAAACAAAGAACACCAGCCGCACGACACTAATTCCTTCATGCTTGGCCACGAGTGTCAGAAAGCCATGAAGGAAAGGACTATTTCTAAACCTTACGACACGGATTATCAGAGATCCCATTATTGGATTCAGTAGTTGACTCGTCTCGAGAAAAAAAAACAATAATAGAAGAGCCTTCTGCAGATATCTCATCCGTCGAATTTCAAACGCCCTGATTGTTAGGTGATTTGGAGTAACCTTGAAAAAGATAATCCGTAAGAGCACACAAAATAGAGTGCATGAATTAAGGCAGTCAGTTGCCGTGTGTGACGAATAACCTATTCTTTTGATTTGCTTCTTGTAGGAAAAAACATCCTACTGAAACGAAGCTACCAACAAATTACGTCAGCAGTATCATCGCCTACTTAAATAACGTTTGAAGACCGCCTCAGTTAAGTATTACCCGAATGTACATTTGTCCATAAATAGGAACACACTGTCCACCAAAGCTGTAGGGTTACCAGACCACGAACACCCCGAAGTGAAATCAGTGCACTAAAGCCGATAACGTCATCAGCTAACAGTTATAAGAATTGGCCTAACCGCCTCCAGCCAGACAACAAATCCTTTCACCACAAATGAACTGTGGTTTAAAACAATTATGAACTTTGGACAAACAAATAAAAAGATGACCCCAATAGTAACACAATCACGGGGAAGAACATTATCGAAACCTCCTTACTACTTGTGAATTGCGAGAGACCCTTTACTAGGAAAGTCCCACAGCCACACCGTTTTGGGGTTTCGGATCACGCCGTCGGTTAAAAAAACACTTGAGGAGACTGGGGAAATTTCTCTACAAAAAGGACCAAACACGGACTGTCCACACGCATTTTCCCCCTTAATATTAACAAACTCATGTTGTCCCATTTACCCTGCACAGCAAACCAACTAAACCCAATGGAAAATCAGCGTAACGCAACAAGCCCCAAGAAGTATGTAAAAATCGCTTAAGATGCCTTAATACAAAAGCGAACAAAATGGAGCCTAGCCAACTGTAGCTCTGCCATATATATTAGTGCATGACCTAATAAACATTTAATATTAGGTGCTAGAAGTAACATCGTCTCTAGGATGAGACGCCGTACTGATGGTGAGCCTTCGCCAACTTCAAAGCGATCACGTGGCCATAGCTCATACACAAAACACGGCAGGACGGTGTCGCCTCGGCGGCCACGGGATGAACTTTACGCTTCATTCTCTTATTCCCAAGGCAGTCGGGTTGACGACGTAGTGGTGAACATCTGTGTAGAGAACTCCAAATGACTTTCGGACTCTTTACGTTAAGAAGTTTTTCTTAAAATTAAGTCTTGACGAGCTACAAGGAATGTTGTTCCGCGATTTCGAGAAATTCGGTGACATGTCAATAAGTGTTCGACCCGTAGATGAGGAACGAGCAGCTTTAATGTAAGTGAAATGACTTGATTGGACCGGCCTTCTCCAAAAGCTCTACTTTGTCATCCATGGAATTACGCAGATCTCTAGGTAAAGTACCAACTGGAACCCTTCCAAAGTCTTGAAAGCCATTAAATTTTGTACGAAAGATTTTCCTGCATGTTTTCTGTAGTGTTCCATGCCGAGAAGTTTTTCTTCGCCAAAAAACCGTCCTTGTGAGTTTTCACATAAAAAGCCATCTGACGGACAGAAAGACAAGGAACGGGTAAAACACTAATTCGAGAATTACGCTGGCTTCAACGACAGACTCACGAAACCTCAAGTCTACGGTATTCTTCAACTAAAACTGATTCACAAAAGCCGCCTCATATTTCAGTCGGAATGATCTTCGGGAAGTTTAAATTGATTTTCTCGAGAGAACACTCATCATATTTCGGTTTGTTATCTTGTTAGTAATCTGCTATGTGAGGAGAATATACTACTGTAACGCAATTGAAACTGGACTGTACCTGCTTGCACGTGTTTATCGTATGACCTAATGTATGTGTGCCTCCCCCTCTCTCCCTCCCTATTGCAAGTACCATGGATGAGCCACCACAAGCCCTGGACAGAGAGGAAAAACCCGCTTGTACATCCTCTCCCGTGAATGACCTTGACCTATTTTGGTACTCATAAACGCCTTCGGTTTCGGTTGAATACATGTGTTGTTGCTACGCTCCGCTCTTCTCTCCTGTGTCACCCAGCCTGTGTGAATGTGTGCTGTGTGTGCCGTGTGGATTCAGAAATACCAATCTGGGTCTGCACACTTCAGAACCGATCTCTGCCGTCACTACATCCTCGTGAACGTCGAACACTGCTGACTTCCTGACATCCAACGATACACTGCGACATATCGAATAGCGCGCCAAGTGAAAATGGCGCCACTTATGAGCAGCCTATTCGGTCGAACAAAAGCTTTGGCTAAGGTTTAGTTGAGTCTGCCGTCACCACCATGGCAATTTGAAAACGATTGGAGTTCGCACGTTTCTCATGTTTTCTTGTTCCAGTGGAATATGAAGTTGATAGGAAATCGAGGACTGTTTTGATTTTGTTAGCCCCAAAATTTTTATAGCCGATAGTTAGCAGTCGAAGAGATCTCACGGATAGTGTGTTATATCAAGAAAAGATGCAACTGATACTTATAGCTGTAGGAATTCCAACCCAAAAATGCAAGGGTGCAATTCTTGTTCACAAAGACCCTACAATACACTCGGAGTGGATTCAGACTTGGACAACGATATTCCTTTCGAAGGCTTATTCCAGTCTCCGTACTGATGGCCGTTAAATTTGACAGTAGAACAAGTGATGTTGTTAGTTGAATCAAAATTGAAGAATGCTACCGGATGCTTTAGTAAAATTCCGACTTTGCCATACAAATCATCAAACTGATGACGCATCCGGTATCCCGATCATGCTTACTGCTTCCTAACCTACCAGCCAAAGCTTTGTAGTGTTCCAGTTTTGGATAGCAAAAAACAACACTCTGACACCGACGAAAACACTCATCTGCAAATCAATTTGGGTTTCACGGAGACCCAACTGAATCTTTCGTTTATGATACTCTTAAAATGAATAAGCTACACAAAGGCTGCTTCATGTTTCATTTGGTACGATATTCGAGATATCTTGGTATACTTTCATAAAGGAGCTTCAAGAGGATATGTTCACGAATACTCTTGCTTGCACACGAATTAGATTCTGACATGAGAATCAAGTGGACCCTGCTGAATCTCTCTCGTTTGTGATGACTTGCTTAAGGTGTCAGAACCAAATTCGTGTGTAAATGACAGCATTTACAGAGGCTTGTCCAATTTGGGTTCAAGTAGAACATAAGGTTGATTGACAGAAATCGGCAACTAAGCACACCTGATGAGCCCCAAGAAGGGCGAAACCGGTCATGGGCTGTCGAGGAGTTTTCAGCAACCTTGCGAGTAGTTCCCTTGATGAAAACCACACAGGTAGTTTATGTTGGTTGCATCCCGTGGTTTGTTTGAGCATACCAGGGACAGTCTGAGACTAACAAACGGAAACCCTCGTGAATAGACTGTCGCTCGCACAGAAACAGTAAGCCAATTAACTTCAGGATTTCCCCCATTCCACTGACAATCCAACGCGTCTGGGAATGCCCAAGTGGTCGCTAAAAGACGTATAAAAGAAGCCGTGTACTTTCGCCACGGCTAGCTTTCGTATCTTCTTTAATTGATCTTAAAGCCAATCTTAATATGCTGAATTACTGGATACGTTTACTTGTTAGTGAGAACAATGCGATGTCCCGTTAAAACTTACGAATCACGCGGAAAATGTGATCGTCGATCGTCAAGAGGACATACCGCAATCGGTTCCACGGAGTGAGTGGATTATCAAATCGTATACATCAAATGGTGAGCTTAATGTGCATGAAAGTGGAAATTTCTCTCAAAGATACTCAACATGTCCAAGTTGACGGGGTAGACATCGGCAGGCTTGAGGATCCTATCGGACATACTCAGATGCTGGTTGAACGCTTTATTCACTATTTCATTTAGTATTACTTGATTTTATCATTTATCATTGTTATTATTTGACTTACAGACTCAAACATAAACTAGCAACTACCATTAATGAGTCTCTCGTCGCTCATGTGTGAAAGTGTCTTTCTACATTGGTAAATTAATACTGCTCTTCAAAGGAAGGGGATAACAAAACCGTCCGATTTTCAATGTCTCACTTCTCCTCCTCATTCCACTCACTAAATTTGACATCTGTCTGTCTCCATGCATGCGTGTCTATCCCCAGTTTAATTTTGAATGCATAAATGCCTGCATTCACGAGGCCGTAAGCCGTCATACTTCCTCTGTCCGCCACGCATTAGGTAGTTGGATTCAGGCTGGGACACAAAAATCATGTTAGCACACTTACTCTCACTTACAGACTCAAACATAAACTAGCAACTACCATTAATGAGTCTCTCGTCGCTCATGTGTGAAAGTGTCTTTCTACATTGGTAAATTAATACTGCTCTTCAAAGGAAGGGGATAACAAAACCGTCCGATTTTCAATGTCTCACTTCTCCTCCTCATTCCACTCACTAAATTTGACGTCTGTCTGTCTCCATGCATGCGTGTCTATCCCCAGTTTAATTTTGAATGCATAAATGCCTGCATTCACGAGGCCGTAAGCCGTCATACTTCCTCTGTCCGCCACGCATTAGGTAGTTGGATTCAGGCTGGGACACAAAAATCATGTTAGCACACTTACTCTCAGTGTACCGTCATGCATGAGAAGAATAGCCAAATTAGGAGAAAACGTGTAACCATGGTGATCATCGGTGTAAACTTCAAATAACACTGTAAAGTGTTGCTCTCCAAGAATCCAATTCCGAAGAACAGTGCAAATTTGCTTTTTAGTTCCTAATTTGATCGAATTACAAGAGATAGACTACCTCCTAAAGTAAGTGCTTTCAAGATGGTCACTCATTTACTCTTGTGCATACGTCATCTCATTATGAAACTCACGGTTTTGCTTGCTCAGCTAAAGTGCTGATAACAGGTGCCCGTTCAAAAACCGTTGGATAATGGCTAGTAGCCGGATCCGATATGCCAGTCACCATTGATCAAACCACTGGACAACGCCATACAGTAGCAAGCCCTCAATTCAGTTAAGCATAGGCCTCACATAGGCCGACTACTAACGACAGGTATCACCTAACCTGCAGAATGACACTGTAGGATGTTTGCGCATGCACATATTAACATCGATGTATGGTCAGTAATTTTTGGTCAGTGAAACACTGCACTTCATGTAGATGTTTTATGGTCGAAAATCCGGACTTAGCTGTAGTAGTTGTGTAGCTCTTCGTCCAAATATCCTTATGAAGCCAACCACCAAGCGATTTATGATGCCATTTTAAAAATTGGGCTTTCTACTGGCCTATTGCGCTTTGTAAGATAGTGATTAAGCGCCTATAACGGTAGTTTTGGAGGAGGTGGGCTTTGGTGTGCTCCAGAATGCCCCAGCCTTTTGGAAGGCTGATCGTTTCGTCCAGAAAACAAGGGAGACTAGACCCTTTTGCAGGCGTGTAGATCGAAAGCCCATCATACAACTAACGACCGACCGGACAAACGTAAATAGTGGAGGCGCTCTGTGTACTCCTTTATCTTCAAACTGAGCAGTTGGAATCAAACGCAAATATCGTCGCATTCACTCAAAAGGACCCCTGATGACAAGGGCGTTAAGTTTTTATTCGGGCACTCACCATACATGGTAACTATATCCACTTGTGGTTAGTTTTTAGGACAAGTTTCTAATGTATAACTCTTCGCCTGTATACAAAAAGACTGTGACTCTAAAAAGGGCGCACTTCTCACAAGAACGCGATTTTCGGCGATTCACGGGCGCGAGCTCTTTGAGGGGGCACTACAACTCTAAACCAGGGACAGGTGATTGATGATGGATGAATTTTTGAGGAAATAAGAGGGAAGTGTGGATTATCTCCAAGGTGGAACTGTGGAAGAACCGCACTCATGTGGAAGATCCTAGTGAAAGCCATAACTTACATCGCGGTGGCTTCTAGGGAGCGAATACACCCAATGACAAGTTATGAGCTTACCTCACTTATTCACAATTTACATCTCATCAAAAGTTGGCCCGTAATTCGGCTCATGACCCCCTGGTGCTCTCTAAATCTCAAACCCGTGAAGCCTTGAAAACGTGGGATATATTGGCATGCTCCGATAACAAAACTGAAAGCTCCTGACTTAATATTCTCATTTGAGTCTGTTCTGAGACTTGAGGGCAAAGTAATCAGGAAAACTGCTATCGTGCTCGCACCACTCTCACTTGAACAATAGTCCTGTCCTGGCGCAATCATTCTGGTGGAGTTCATACCTCGTCCTTGGCCGTGCCGGGATTTGAACACCGCACCTTTGACACCAGCACACACTGGACGCGTTTGAATTTTCAGGCCTAAACTGGTGAAATGCTCACTATTCAGCGACATAATTAGTTGTCCCGAAGCCCCGAACAGCAACCTAGTAACTGTCCTGGTTATGTCGATCGATTGCCCCGCCTGTTAGGACTTCCCAGTCAGGTAGCGCCACAGACGCTTGAAACCTACCAGACATTTCTTCGAATATTTATAGGTGGTTGCAGGATTTGTAGTGGCTTTCGTATCACACTGGAAAACATGAACGGTCATATATTGTTCCCTCCCGGATTACAACTGTTGAGCTGCCACGCATGCTTGGAATTTCCGTCACAATGAAAAAGAAGCCTCTCGGTCCTGCTGTTGAAATATCACAACTTCTTTCATCTCCTTTGACACCGCCCTAAAAATTTATTGCGAGTCACATGACATATCCCTTGGCACGTTCCTTACCTGACCTTAAACTGATACACTGGTATTTCTACATCCAATTCATTCGGCGCTCTCCCCCCCCCCCGCGTTTCAAAGCGAACTGAGGTCTAGTTGGAGGCTATGATGCCAGACCTAATCGAACGAATGTCCGGCCAAACGGTCTTACAGCTGCCCTGCCACGATACTGCATAAATATATTCACACATAAATATGCATATACTATAAGATATGCAACCCAAAATGCCCAACTACCGTTCATAACTGAATATATCATTGGTAAGTAAATTTGTGATTTGAACACCGATGCCACAGAATCATGACTAACAGATGCTAGTAACAGCGGACTACCACTAAGACAAATTAAATTTAAAAAAAAATTTTAAAAAGTTTAAGAAAATAAATTAAATTTTAAATATGCAGACCTGTAGCATACTAACACAAGATTTACCCCGCTTGGTAGGTGGCAAAATCTTACTAGCTGGTGTTTAGGAGCTCAAGCGTGCTCCTGAGGATATCAACGTAACACGAATTCCAGGATTAGTTGTACACTTTTTTGCATTGCATTTGCATTTTGTTGAAAACTCAGTAAAATATGGCCGCAGTCCAACATAACACCCTTGCTATCTGTACTGACTTCGCTTGTCTGAGTAAATGTTATAGAGGTACTCAATTCAACTGGTAATAAGTCGCTGTCTTTACCTAATTCGCTTCTTTCACAGCCCTCTTCGTACAAACCTGAACCGTTCTGTCCCAGTTCTACTCAAACCAGAGCTGAAGAGACCCTCGACGCTTTGTTCCACTTGTTAAAACTGCTTCATTTTAACTCCTCATTAGAACGATGAAACAATCAAACTGGAAAAATAAGACGGCCAAAACCGAACTACTGAAACCTACCACCTTGTTTACTGACTGACGGCATGTAGACCAAAAGTTTCACGGCCGGCAAGTAATTCGTCGTGATTTCTCTGTAAAAGCTGTGAACTATGTCACTCCTCCGATCCACCATGCGCTCCATCAAATATCGCAAGCACTGGAGAACAAAAGACGTAAATAGATAGTGGCCAGCTTCACACACATGTTTGTAGAAAATGGAACGCAACTACAAACTGGATTGCAGGGTAGAGGACAACCATACCAAGAATTAAAAAACTAGCTTTCGCTAGTATCGTACCAATCTGTTTGATGTCATTTTGATCAGGTTAGCATCCAATTTAGATAAATTTCATTGAGTAACTTCCAATAGCCTACAGAATAACAAGGAGGCCCAAAGAGATTAAATTCAAATGGAAACAAACGTTGCCTCGAGTTCTTGCATTCACACTGGTCTTTTACACACAGACCGCATTATATCATCCTACTATCTCTTTTTGCGCTGCATTTCAAATATTCAACTATAGGCCCCATAATATACAAATCGCCAAAAACATTGGGTCCACTGTCTGATGTACCTTTATTTTGAAACCACTGCCGAGTCCAGAAGATGAAACAGGCATTGTTCCATCAAAGTGTCTCTCCAAAAGCACTAAAATAGCATTCCTTAAACTTCTTACTTTGAATCAGATGTTCCATCCTAAATGTGTTGGGCTTTCTTTGAGCCACCCGAACCGAATGCTTGTTTTTATTCGTGACGAAATTCATCCGTTTACACGGGGCTTGACACGCATGGTTGGAATTATTGATAGTATGGTCCATCAGGATTTTTAACCAAGATTTCGTCCCACAACTGAAGCCACTCTATCAGCGCGTTGGCAGTGGTGCAGGATACTGACAAACCTTTCATCTGAGAAGTCATCACTCGATGGGCTGGTCAACACGTCACCATTTGATGAGAATCCCATGATTGAAGGCTGAGTGGCGCTATATCGTGTTTACTTGTAGGTTTATCACACTTCTGGTCGGCCGCTCTTGGGCGAACGGAAATATTTTTAAGTGCTAATCTCTAGTTTGAGATTCGGATCTCCCGGAAGCTTCAGGAAACGCGAAGTGCTGACGATAGACTAGTGATGTCCTCCGTGCCTCCCTCAGAATGGAGTAGACTGCGAGTTGATCTGATAAAATGGTGTGGCACTGTGCTACCTGTCTTCCAGTATGAGGTCCCCGTAAACCCCTCTGCACACGACCAGAAGCAGTGCGAGAAATGGCAGCCAGCCGGTGTTACCGACAATCATACTGGCAGTTTCTTTCCAGATTGGTAGTGTGGGCATCTCATCATGCTTCCGACAGGCTGGCAACAGATCCCTCCCGTCACACAGTTCGCTCTCTTCTTTCCACTCTATGGCTCTAATTGGAGTTAACTAAAATTTATGGTTATATAGCAGTGAAGCATCAGTGTCAACACTGATGACGCTGTCTCTGATGAGGGTGGTGACTGCTGATGATTTCCACTAAGGAAGAAACAGCTGTTCAGTGATGACCCCCATCTGGCATTGATTGGCAGCAGGGAAACATGGATGAGAAGCTGACAAGTCCGATAGCTATTTACACCTACTACCTTATTCTTCCTAGTCTCACTCGTATTCATTCAGCGTGTGGTGACCCTTAGCCATGATAGCTATAAAGCCCTGCACCGACTTTTGACCCATCGGGAACTTTGGCGGTTGTTTTCGCCTGGCTTGTACTGCCACTCCGCGTTCATCGCTGCTAGTTATCTCCGTTTATTCTCCACTTTCACTATTATCATTGATTTTATTGGATAGACCTCGTACGTTTGCGCCAAGCACCTCACGTGAGAAAAATCACCTGGAAAACATTTACAGAAAATGTTTTCTTTTACTCGCTGCTCATCGTTCGCCAGTCGGAATAGACCACTTTAAATCGTGTTGTCCCGATCTAACGATTAATTTTATTGGTGTCACCATAACATTTTTATCATCATCGCCAACATCAAGATCGTCATCATTTTCATCACTACCATAACGTCCACCATCACGGCCACTTGACCTTGAGTAGAAGCAACACGTCAATCAAGCCTTGAATTCTATTCGATTCGGAAGGCCTACTTATATGTGGCAGAGTAGTAAGTGGTAAACGGGAATTGAACAAAATGTGGATAAGTTATTTCTCTAATACGAATTCACATATGGCTTATGAGGATCGTGGCTCAAACTCACCAGTAGTGTCTGATCACGCAACTGATATTCTTGATCACATGCTTGGGTAAGTAAATCGGGTATGAGTTCCAAGAACGTTAACGCGTGCTCCGTGTAATTCTGTATTCTGCAGATAGATAAAATAAGTTTGGTTACTCAACACTTTGAAGCCAAAGCACAGTAACACATGTTGAGCTGCTGCTTTCAGTGGCCTTGATGTCACAACCAATTTAATAACTAAAAGGTATTAAGCTAGCTACGTGAACCAACATGCAATCGTTTGTCATAAATTAATATCATATGAACGATCCTCAAACAAATGAGCTATTAGGAGCGGCAAACCACGTAGGTTTCTGGTTCGCCTTGAGCCCTCAAGTACTGTTCTCAAGCCTTTAAGTCCAGACACATGCTTCTGCGCTTCTAGGATAATAGAAACGCTTGCTCTGGGTCCATGGTTCCCAATGAAGATCGCATGGGTTTCATAATGACCAGCTAACACATTTCTACATAGTTCAGTCTAGTTATTTACTTGAACCGATGCAAAATGGCACAGTGTTTTCAAGATAAAAGACACTACAGAGATAGTAAGGAAAAATTCAACCAAAGAAGTCTTAAATCAGTTCAATGTGGACGCTGAAATGTGAGAATGTTTGTGTCAGGATGCAATCGAGGGGGCTGCATTGGAGTAAGAGCGCTACTGACTAAGTGACACACACGTCGGATGAATTAAATGTTCTTACTTATTGTAGAAGCCTGTGTCTTGATCTACGGCAACCTCAAGAGTACCCTGTCCAAGGAGATTTGTAAACAGCCACCCGAGGCCATTGTAATCAGGTCACTCCGTTGCGGCCCGGTCAACAAGAAGCATACTTGTTGGTCTTTGTAAATATGTCAGCTGCTCGCGACCTGATTTCGTAAACGCATGACTTCATTCGGTAGTAGCGTAAGTGGAGACAGTTCGAAGAATTCCAGTAGGAGGACAACAATGAATTAGCTCTCATCTCATCTCTCCTGTCAGCCATTTTCAGGGGCCGAAACAGCGTAGGAAAGATCGTAAAACCAGCCAGAATGACTACTCAAATCACAAGCTTCAGCTTGTGGTTCCCGTTCAAACATCCATTGTGTAAACAAAGTCGATAAGGATGAAACATCTGTATTTTCATTTAACTGTAATACCCTAACTGCCATGCTATCCGAGGGAAGCACAACGGCTGGGATACTGCCAAGTCGTCCAAGCCTGGACAAGAGAAGTCGAGAGGCAGATGTCGGGTTGGAACCACGGATCTTCCGGTCCGTAAATTCGCGCTCTAACCACTGAGCCATTTCGCTCCCAGCTGTACTTTGCTTTCCTGCTTTTCAGCAGAGACTGGCTTTGTTTGCAGGGTGCATTTTGACTATTCGCGCCCAACCACCGAGCCATTTCGCTCCCAGCTGTACTTTGCTTTCCTGCTTTTCAGCAGAGACTGGCTTTGTTTGCAGGGTGCATTTTGACTCTAACTTTCGAATGTGACTACTCCCTACAAACCATAGTTGATCAGCTCAGAAGTGCGAACCACCCTGTAGATCACTTGGGCTTCCTCTCCGTGAAGTTGTCAGTCGATGGGTCAGCGAACACAGGATTGTGTGAAGTGCGATCGGAGGCTATATCCTGTCTAGGTGGGAAATGGGTACATCGCTGAGCAGCACCGGTGCTCAGCAGATAACCGCCAGGTTGCGGAGTCAAACTTTTCCATTTATTCTCCAGACATGCACCAATGATGATCCCCAACAGCGACAGAACAGTCTTGTGGTGTTTCTCGGCCTTTCGACATGAACTGATTTTGCTTGCAAGATGGGATTCCAACTTAAAACTACTAATTTTCTCGACAACCGAAAACATTAATACTCAATACAGTCCTAATGGAGATGGTAGTAGTATAAATATACTCATTTGCAGACAAATTCGGTTTTTCGAGAGACTCACCCGGAACCCAGATAAATCGCTCGTTTATGATGTTTTTAGGCGACTGAGTGTGCTGCACCAGACCACCTCAGGTTTCAGTTTGTACAATATTCGAGATGTCGTGATACACTTTTAGACGTAATACACTACTCATAAGGTTGCTGAAAATTCTTCGACTACTTAGCCAAAACATTACTTTACTTGCAAGAGGCTAATGAGAAGCTAACCGTATTCATTTTGCTGTTAGGTGAGGTATTTTTATTTGTATTTTACTGCCATCTTTAAGCAGTAGTGGTGAAATGTTTCATTTTCTGTGAAGCGCGTGCTCTAGATTTTGGACACTGTTGCATACTCCGTGTTCTACGCATATCAGCGGAACATGTTTGTCAGCCTCCGTCTTTTAGGTTTAAAAACCTAATGATTTTTCGTGCTGTCGCACCTGAACAAAGATAATCATTATTTATGAATGCAAGACATCATTAGACTTCATCGTTTTTGCCTCATTCTGCCTTTCCACAGCATTGCATCCATTCGTTATGTCATACTTGAAGCGTTGCGACGAAGGTTAATGCGGGCACGTCCACGACTAAATTGTCAGCTTAGTAGACACAAGTTCATTAATGCAGTAAACAAGCATATCGACCGTGCTCCTAACGTAAATTCGTTGAACTGAGAGACATTTAGTGAGTCCGGACAGTTCCATCGTAGTATCTCCTCTTGGTGAGTCATCCTACCGTTGGGTGAGACAAAAGTCTGTATTTTGGTTTGTTTTTGGGACAGTGGGTTGTGGTGAAGAAATTCCATGCTTCCAGAAGCATGTTGTCGATAGAGATGTCTGAGTCTGGTGGTCCCTCAGTAAGACAGTCATGTAGCCTTGTTGGCTGTCGCACCTTGGACCTCGTCCAAGAGAAATTCTTAGATGTTCCCCCCACTTACTTCATATTTCTTACTTGGCTCACCTATCTGCCAACTTGGATTCGAGGAGTTATTGTTTACTTACGCTTACCGTGGATCACGTTTGACTTCGACGATGTGATGGGGTGCCTCAGACTTAGATAAAACACTCTTTTGAAGGCGATAAAAGGAATTTCCGGGCTTCTATCTAGATCCCCATGTTTTGGTCGTACGTTTATCAAAATCTTATCGGCTTTCAAGCAACCCGGCTGGTCTTCTTCACTGTGGACGGCGATTGTTAAACTTTTTGACAAACATGCGATTCAGTCATAAGTGATACCCCATTCTCCAATTCACATTTAATTCTATTCTGCGTATACTCTGGTTTTTCGCAGGTCATACTTTGGATTCATGCCGAAAAGAAAGCTCTTAATCTGTAATTGAGACTGTATGTTCCTTAAACAATTGAGGGCAGGAGGGAGGCTTGAAAGACTGAAAACAGGGAGAAGAGAACCCCAAACGTACGTGAAATTTATTTGAGTCCGTGTGTGCTTCGAAATGACGATTCATCCAAAAATGTCATCTCTTGACTCCTTCATTTTATAAATAAACCTGCTTGTTCTCCATAATGTACTAATAAAGATGCAGTGTTTTCTGTTAAAAGATATTCGAAACAGAGGGATGTCCAGCTTGTCCATAAATATCGACTTGTCCGCACGGATTGCAAGATATTGAAATGAAGTTCTTAAAATTCTTATTGATGTAAGTTATTTCCTAAACTATGAAAAATTCCATGCCACTGACTTGGTGATTGTCCTCGCAAAAAACTCCATGATACGCAGTGAACCGAAGGTGCAGGTCGGTAATAAAAGTTTACTTACTCACTCACACAAACCGCTTTTTAAAACCCCAGTGTGCTACATCAACCGGTGTGCACGTGTCGCATAACGCGCCCAGAAACTGCAACGCTCTTGTTACACACCCGATTGATCGATGCAGCTAGATCGATATGCCATGGTGTGTTTCTGGACTACACAAACAAAGTATCATCTACTCTTTTTTCTGTCAGAAGGTACAACAACCCAGCTCAGGACTCACTTTCCACTTGTGACCAGAAGATCTTCAGAGGGCGGGTATACAGTGGTCGTGATTGGAGCGGTAGAACTATGATACAACCAAATTTAGTCTGATATAAATTACTGTCAACTTTGTGTTCAAGCTGCAAGAGTAGGTCTATCTACTTTTAATTGAGATGCGACTAGCTTTCGTCACAGTTTTGTAACCCTTCTCAGTCATTCGTTTTGTTGAGTGACTTATTGAGACACCCTTGTCCCTCCGTTTCAACCTTCTACTTGTCAATCTCCTTATATTTTTGTTGGCCAGAGTGCTCCCCTCAAATCTCGGCACTTGCGGAACTGCGCAACCTTCTCGATCACTCTGCTTGACGCATCGAACTCCATCGGGTTGATTTTATTGCAGAGTACACGTTTCGGTGATCTGTATATCAGTGTTTGTTGTAAAACAGCACATTCATTTGCCTGGAGACATCACAAACAAGAGATTCAGCTGGGTTCCAGCTGTGTGCAAATGAGTGTATTTTGCTAGATATCATCTTATTCTATCCAGGCACATTCTGTCCTATGGTCTAAATGATAAGTACCATATTTTGAACTGGATGGAGTGTAAAAGCCCCCTGTTATGAGTGTTGCCAATGCTCCTGATGAAATTGTCAAAACATTTGATGGAAGCATAGACAAGAAGAGGTTGACTGCTGACAAGAATAGTGTTTAGTTTTGGAACCGGAAATAAACCACTATGCTCCTTACTATCGTTTTTTAAACATTACCAAAAAGCATTGGCCTACATAAAGAAAATCGTCATATCTGTCTCTAAAACAGAACGGGTTCACATTTTAGGAGTTTCCCAGGCAATTACTTGCTGCGTAGCTGAGAATTTGCCAAAAGCTACGGCAGTATGAAATACATCTTTTCGTAGCTAGTACTGTGTGGGTGTAGACTGAATGAAAGCCCCGATGTCTAACATGCACAAAAGTCGTAACGCCGCCAAGACACATGGCCTGGAAAAGGTGGAGAATTTTCCAGTCACTATAACTGTCAGTAGTGAACGAAAGCCAGACGGAAGTCTTCTTAGTTACACTCTGTACCAGGAGAGATATCAGTACGAAGCTTAGGGAACATCAGAGGGCATGTTGCCATTTTCGAAGACATATTAGTAACATCTCAAGCATTGCAAAATTAAATTAGTAAACTCTCTTGTGAAGTCTCTAAGGGAGCTTAGGGTCAGCCACTACAATCTCTGGGATCACCCGAGAAAATACCAGATGGTCCAATTTCTTGTAGTGGTCAGTTAAAAAATGAAAAAAAAACATTTTAGGAACCAAGAGGTGTCACTTCTGGTGATCCATGAAGAGAATGTTTCTCAGTCGAAACGGCTGCATCCTCTAAAAGTTCCCTCCAGTTCTTTCAATGGAGCACTGTAGTTCACTTCAAGGTAATTTTCCGCCTTTTGTGGTTAGAAAGCCACCTTGTAAAGTTGCCACATGTGATCTTCTACTGCGATGTAAAAATCGCACAGAGTGTTTGCATAAAGAAAGATGCAGATATATGAAGAAAGTTGATGGGAAAAAGCTTTATAGAACGCGGTCGTTTAAATGAACAATGGAAATTTTTTTTCAATTAGATAGGCAAACAGGTAAATCACAGTGGTGACAACCTTGATTGGTTCAGCGAATTCCAAAAAGAGTCGAACTCGGAGAACTCACTATCGTACAAAGTTCTAGATGATGGAGAACACTTTTATGAGCCTCTAAAATATTGATTCTACCTTAAATTCTCCCCCTCAAGGGGGTACCAATTGCATTGTCTATGAAGTAGGAAGGCACTGATGATAATCTCAGTAGCAGACCCGATTTGTACTGTTGGAAATTCAGCTATCCTTTTCAATTCCGAGTCAGCTGAGACTATATGTACCGAAGAGTATTTTCATGAAGAGAACTACTCACAAGGTTGCTGAAAACTCTTCGACAGCCCACGACCGGTTTCTCCTTTCTTGGGGGCCATCAGGTAGGCGCAGTCCCCGAGTTCCCGCCAACCGTCGTTGGCTGTCGAAGAGCTTTCAGCAACCTTGTAAGTAGTTTCCTTTATGAAAATATACTGCAATATCTCGAATATCGGCCAACTGAAACATGAGGTGGCTTGTGTGTAGCACATTCAGTTGTAGAATATCATAAACGAGAGATTCAGTTGAGTCTCTCGTGAAAACCAAATTGATTTGCAAATGAGTGTATTTCTCGAAAACCAAAAAGTATATTTGTAGGTGTCAAGCAGCGTTAACCACGATTATTGTATGGTTAAAACGATTCACGGCTAGCTTCTGGACTTTTCCTTTACCATACGCCGACAAATATTTCAGGAACATTACAACTTACGCGGATTCTGATGCGGTCTGACGATGTCCAATCTCACTGACAAAGTAAGCGTTCACTGTAATGATCAGATCCAGTAGAATTTGTTCATACCATGGTCGCTGCAGTAAACAAGATAGATCAGAGCTAAGCAGGACTAATACTTTGGTCAATTCGGTAAAATGGAAACTGACTAGGTGACAAGTGTTTACACGAACAACGAAATTCCTCAAACGTATGCGGTTGCAACAAACAAACCATGTTATTCCTTAGTAATCTGAAAACAACAATGAAACACTTGGAAACGGACGTTAATTATTGCAAATAATGACATGGTTTAGTACCTAACCATAGTTACTATGAGCTAGTCCACCATATTCCATCATGGTACCAGGAAAGACCATCATCATCATCATCATCATCATCATCATCATCATCATCATCATCATCATCATCATCATCATCATCATCATCATTATCATCATCATCATCATCATCATCGTCATCATCATTATCATCATCATCATCATCATCACCATCATCATCATCATCATCGCCGCCATCATCATCATCATCATTATGACCATCATCATCATCGTCGACATCATCATCATCATAATCATCATCATCATCATCATTATCGTCGAGAGCATGACACCGATAATTCGCTGCCGTATGACCTTGATTTATTTGAAAGCCGTATTGTGAGGAAGAGAATCAATGTGGACAGAGAAGGGACTTAGTGTTAGTTTACTGCAGTCATTCCGAAGTGCATACATCTCCAGACAGTGATTCAGGCAATCTGGATGGAAACTGACAAATGCCAGTGATATTGATTGGCAGCCATATCTTGTAGCGTCTCCAAACAGGCGCAGTAGGGATTAGGCGATCCTCATTCCGGAAGGTGTGCAGCACCGAGAGCACCCAAACCTTTTGTAATCTTCTTCATGCCTTTCTGCCAGGTCAAGGGTTAGCCACCTCTCTGCTTCCGCCACTCTGGGTTGGGCATGGGAAACAGTACTTTCATCGGCAACCGATGGTAAGGCATCCGAAACACATGTCCAAACCGACGCAGCTTTTGATGCTGAACACACTCCTTAATGGAAGTACCGGTTGCGTAACCGAAAACTCGCTTCCTAATCGCCTAGTTACGGATTCACCGACACCAACACACACAAGCTATGGTTCTAAGACAACGATGGTCGAACATCTGAAGACGTCTCATTTCCGCTGCTCCGACAGGTCAAGTCTCAGCCATACAACAAAACAGCCCGTACTGTAGCCTGAAACACACGTAAATTGAAACTCAGGGACAAGGCACTCTGGCGCCATAGGTGTCTCAAATAAGCGAACGCGATCCTGGCCTCGGAACTCGTGCACCGATCTCATCTGTCACACTACAATCAGAACTAATGCAACTTCCAAGATGCGCAACACGCTCCACAACTTCCAATACCTCCCCCCGGATTGTAAGTGGCATGTTCAGTAACTGCATGTCCAGGAGCATAACCTCACACTTTGTGGGTGCAAATTGCATACCAAAAGACGAGATGACCTTGGTCAGTTCATCCAAAAACATCTATGCTTTCTCCTCTTTGTAGATAACGATGGCATCCGCATATTCCGGATCGGCAAGGCCTTCTTCACAGGCTTTTTGAACGCCGGGGTTTTGGATACCTTTCAGCGTGCGTTTCATGATTTAATCAGCCACGAAGTTGAATAGGAATGGAGAGAGTTGGCATCCCTGACGGACACCGCTTTGTATATTGAAGCATTTGGAGCGCTCGATTACACGTCCAAAAGTCCGAGAACACAAAGAGCTTATTATGTTCACGAACTTCCGAAGCATTCCTTGGTGGGCAAGTGTGTCAAGAAGAGTAGACCGGTCAACCGAGTCGAATGCGCATTGGAAATCCGGAGAGACTAGGAATGTGGGTCGCTTATACGTATGGCGTTTTTCTACCACCTGACGGAGCGTGAAGATACCTACGTCCAGCCCGGAAACACCGGCAAAACGTAATTGCACATACCAACGTGTTTATCGAAATAACCTGGTCTTTCGGAGCATGCGTAGTTACTTCAAAGCATGGAAAGAGTCCCTAATTATGTGACTTGCTCTGACTAAATTCATCTGAGCATCGTCCACCTGTGTAAACATTGCATAAGTTACATGCTCATTCAATAGACCGATCGTCACAAGTTTGTACAAAGCACACGCACCCGTATTGTGTGTGGCTGTTCGACCTGCTGAGGCATTGCCAGTGCCTAAATTCACTCTTGACGGCAAACGGTACACTTTGGGGGTCGCTTATCTTTTTATATCGTTTTATAAACCACACGAATCCGCGTCGTCCTCCGCCTGCAGTCAGTTCCCAATTACATTTATCTGACAACATGTCACCAGAGGATAAAAATCCCTCATTGGGAATTCGAATGGGTGTCCTGTATGTTCACTTGTGTGTTATTAGTAGGTATGATCACTCTGTAAAAGTCACAGATCCTATTGTTCGTATCATCAGAAGGGTGACACCAAAGAAAGAGTTACTACTGGTGTCGGATGCTTCTAAGACTCACGCACAGGAATATCATTTACGTTATTCCAACCTAGTTTCTTCTTCCTACTAAATTGTTCTGACTCTTTGCCAAAAAACTGTCCCACGTGAGGCTGTGGGAGACAGAACCTATACATTCAGTAACTACGCTTCAACAGTGAAACAAATTTCTCCTATGGGTTTCAATTTCCTTGAAACTGCACAATCGAGAAAACTAGACTGATGGATCGACTCATCCATACCGTTTACTGCGCATGCTTCGTAGCATTGGATCGATCAGGTCTACCAATCAAACTCGAATATGTCCTGTCGGACACCGTGAATCAGAAGAGTCTAGTGTGCCCCAATATGGTCGCAGTATCCCTCTGGCCTCGCGGGAGCTTTGACGAGAATCAGCACTGATTCTACACTCTAACAGGGACAAAAATTAGGCCCACTGCTCCCGGAACTTGCTGCAGGTCTGTCAGAATAACTGTACAAGAGTTGCAAAACGGCTGTTTAGATGGGCCAGATGTGAACGAAATGTAGTAATAACCATCTTGAATCACTCTTCATATGGGACTATTTCATGACTTGCTTAGAAGGATGAAATAGTGAAATTCGATCACGGTAGAACACTTGAGTGACACTATACATCCTTAGCAAGGTCGTGCTACCCGGTCCCCTCTATGTTGTTTGTATTTGTCCTAAAAAACCTGTCACTGCTTCACACAATTTCGCGGTTTTCTGGAATCACTTGGTTTCCAAACGTTTCGATGATTAAAAAGGATATACGGGAATGAGGTGCTTTGCATAAATAGTAGACAAGTAACGAACAAAACCGCATGCAAAGAGTGCGTAGATGTGTAAGGGTCCTGCCGGGTTAATCAGGTTGAACAGTATTTCTTCCACCATGCGACCGAAGTTGTTGACTGGTGCATTCCCCAGTAAGTTGACTCAGTCTACAGGCAGTTAGCATCTGGCTTCTGGATCGATGCCATCATCTCCACTTCAGCATTCTCTTACTTATGGTCATCCCCTTGGGTGATTTACTTCGTTCTGGTCAAGGACACTGCAGTGACATCTCTGTATCCTTGGACACAATTAGTCTGTCAGTCTCTCCTTATAAGCTGTGTGCTACATTTTATCCCTTTGTCCGAAGGGCTCAATCTTTCCAGGTAGAAGTTGATCCCAGTGTATCGGTTCACTCAGGTTGATTCTCGCTTCAGTGCAGTTACAGACACATAACAACTCGTCATTTGAGTGCAGCCAGCAAACAGAGACGTGTAAACACGCTGGAATTCAAACAGGCATGCTTTAAGGCGCACAAAACACGTGAACCTTTGTGTCTAACATGCCGGCAAAGTTAGATGTGCTCGCACGTGGGCAATTGTTTGTTTATGCTTTTTCAGTGCGATTCGGATCTATTCTCTTCGTGATTGCTCGTGAACTGTGACTTTGATGGATGTCGTAGGCTGAGTTCAAAATTTACTATGCGTACACGGGCAACAACACATCTCGTTATGTTGGAATAGATGGCCTTTGCTTCCTTGGACAGTACTTCACTGAAACTGGTTATTGATACCAAATTAACCGAAGAATTCGCTAAGAAGCGTGCCAGCTGCTCTCTCTCTCTGACTCAATGGTTTTGAACCCCCACAATATTTTTGTCAATTTGTATACAACGGAACTGGGAGGAGTGCCAAAGTTAGCACGAAAATTCTTCATTACCGGTGAGACTTGCCTTCGGAGCTGGTTTCCTTCCAAATTCATTTTTGCCGGATGACGATACCAACTAACAATTCAACAAGTTGTCTGCGTCTCTTCCAATAACGGTAAAACAAGCGTCTAGTACTGATTAGTACTAGATTAGGTCAGTCGTTACGAGACACAGATGCAAACGACCAATTTTTCGTACACTTTCACTAATTTGGAGATGTCGGAATACTAAGTACTCCTTTAGTCAACATTTTTTCCCGTAAGTGCAGTCAAATCATGCTGAAATCATCAGCGGTACGCACCTCACGAAAGTCCAGAGTCTCAAATCCGCAACCACCAGGATGTGGGCCACTCGTCCTTCAGTCCAACTGAGGGTTAATCACACAGCTTCTTAACTGCTCATGACCAAGTGGTTATGGGTTCAATCACTGGAGCGAAATCTCGGGTTCAAATCTCTCTGCGTTTCGCGAGGCGCGCGCCACTTATGACTCCCAAAAAGGACAAAACAGCAGCACAGTGCTTCTTGGCTTTTCAGTATAGATCGGCTTTACCTACAAAACGAATTTTCCAGAAGCTTTTCACACTATCAACCCCATTTAGCTCTCCTGCCATGCAAAATACTAAAATGTATGGAGTTACTCATCGATTGCTAGAGCGATACGACTTACATAAGTTGTTAAAATATATTGTCTCGCAAAAATTATCTCTATCCTTACAAAAAGTGACCTTGCTAGAAAATTCTCGCACATGATTAAAATGAATCGACAGCTTCTCATTGTTCGGAGCGTTTTGAACAGTTAATATCAAAATGTATTAATATGGAATGTAAAAAGAATGAACAAAGCCAGACTCACATTTCAGCCAAACAAGTTCAAAAACAATTGGATCGATGGAGCAACAAACTCACACATACCAGTGTGAAATGTCGCCGGTCCTAGGTCCAGACTTCAGTCACGTGGGTAATATTCAATGCAACGATGGCAACTAATAATAGTTGTTCAGGGAACCATATACTTTAAGACGCTCGGTGGATTGTTTTTGCCATTCGGCCGTTGACAAGTTGGGATTATCCTGCAGGCTTCTTGATGCCATCAGTGGCAGGAATCTTGATGATCTCATCAATAAGTGTGGCATATTTTTAGCGTTAAATATATCTTACTATCTTACCAATCCTGACTAGTAAAGACCTGAAAAAACTGGTTGGAGTGAAAATGTACGGTGGCATGTATTACTCTGCAATGGATCAGAGGTAGAAAAGTACTTGATTTATTGGTTCTCCAACAAATATTCAACCTTTCTCGCTTCAACGCCCATTAAGCTATCTTTCAAAAAGCTGAATGATCTAACGAATAACTGTAGGGAACTCACTTGTTTCAACGTGTCAGCTGACAGCATTGAGCGGATTAACTTCAAGATTTGGGTCGGAACTCCCGTTAGTTCACAAAACTTCTCCACGATAGAGACATTGCTTGACAGCGAAAGGAAAACATATGGCTGGTTTGTACTAAGAAATAGAAAAACTATGGAGATGATGAAAACGAGGTTGTGCAAGAGTCGGATACGCTTTTTTCTCGAGGCCGTTACAATCCAGTCAGTCTGAAAACAACCGCAGCAACATGAAGACAGCCCTCTGAGTTTTTTCAACCAAGGAATCCCTTGGAAGATGTATAGTTTTGTATACCTTTTTTCGGTGTTTTCGGAATGGAAAAGTTGACCATCAGGACGCCAACCTCACAATTCGTCTAGATCGCTGATTAAGAGAGAATGGATGGGGGCAGTGAACTTAAGCTCGTCTGATTTCCTCAGGTTATTTGAACCGAGTTTCACTGAATAGGCTAAACCTTATGTGATTCTCCACTGAGATTGTCCCTAATGGCCTTTAACGGCTTCTATGCTGGTATGTTGTGACGTAATGAAATCAGCAAACACAGTGACCGAATAGCACATTAACTGTACCGCTTTCATATCCAATTAAACCACTATCGTCTTTTAACACTAGGGTTATTCAGCCCTGAGTGAGTTCGCACTGGTACATCCGGGGAAAGCCAAATCTCCTGAGTACAGCACACCCCACTTTGGGACGTAAAACTCTGCCTTGGCAGCACGTTTCACTGAGACTCTCCAAAAACTGGACAAAGGTAGGTTTTGTATAAATGTGGAAATATCCAAACCTGAAGATGGACAGAAAAGGTTGATAGGTGTATGAAAGAGACCTCATGAGGGCAAGTAAGCCGTCAAAAAGGAAACAGAAGTTAATTGTATTTGCACGACAGCAACGTTGAACATGATGTGGAAGATAACCATTCGAGTCAAAGGGTGTCTGTCGGTTTTACGTCGTACAATTCTTCAAATGGTGTATTTTTGGGAGATACCCCAGCACTGCCACTGCCGCTAACTAGAAAGCTTCTCCTAATTTTTCATTCGGAACTATTCCCAGCGATAAGTAGGACCAAATCGGTGAAAAAAACTGGTCGAGAAAAAACTATGCCCTAAATAAAATGGACGCTGACAAGATTGCAAAAAACCTCATGTCCTAAAACTGTCCAGTCACTAAAATTAACTTATGGCGGACAGGGATTCGAACTTAAAAACGTCCTGAAGACAAGCATTGAAAGTACATCATACTAAACTGTTAATCACACAGATGGAGGGCGTGAGCTTTGTTGGTTGCCCTGTTCGTGTGAATCAATGCACTTACCACTTCACGGTGACAAGGTTCGTGACCAGATGGAGGATGTTCTTCAAATAGGACGCAGCTTCCAATCCTGGATTAGTTTCCTTTGATGACTCATTTGTACTGACCAAATCTGCCGAAGCGGGTCGTTTCTGTCGACCACCGGAGGTCATTCGAGTTTCCGCCAGGGCGGATGCCCATGAATAGACAGATCTTTCATCTGCCTTGTTCGTAATGACTGACGCTGACAGGAGACGCAAACCAACACGTTGAGCAAATTCGTGGTCTGTCAACAAACTGAGAGCTGTGCGTTCTTGTGGAAGTCTCTTGCTGTCCCCGGACTTCCGGCTACCAGTCTCTCTATCGTTACTAGACGAAACAGCAAGAGCTGCTTCCGTAGCGTCCACTAGGCGTTCCCAAGCCTCACAGCTGTCGCGCAGCCACCATCCACCAGTACTTTTTGGCACGTTATCCGGAGCTGTTTGTGAGAAACGCTCATCCAGTACTCCTGAAGATGGTCGACTAAGAGTTCTACGAACATTTTTTTCCGACGAGTTTGTCCGGTGTCTACCCTGAAATGGTAGACAAAAGGCACCCAAAGTAGTTACTTTTCCACTAAGCTGGCGAATTGAACGATGTTTGGGTGTCTGATAATTCCCAAATGGCACTAGAAGTGGGAAAACAAGGAGTAAACCATAGAAAGGCTTGTCCCCCTCTAATGATGTGATATCTTATAGGCTGCTAAAGATTACTAGACCAAAAGAAGTTTCCTTTTTAATGATTTTGCAGGTTTTATGTAGACCGGTGATCCTACCAACGATCAAGAGTTTCTCAAACTCCTTGTAATAAACATGTTGAAAGTTCGATGTGGCAACGTTTATTAAGGAGTTCTATCGTTATTTTCAACTTCCAGTGTGCTTTTGTCGCACTTAAACTGACTTACTAACAAGTCAATACTAGAATTGTTCGGCTCCAAATCAGTCGCCTGGGAAATATATTCTCAAAGCTCGAGTTGCACTTGAATTATGCTGCCACTGGGATAATTCAGTTGTAATTTTCCGTAATACAGCAAATGAGCAGGTAAAGGAAATGTTCGAACAACCAAAACGAACTCCAAAAAGTTCCAAGTTCGCGTGCACCTCAAGTTTGCACCTCATTCTTGCTAATCCAGCACTGTCTGATTAGCTGAACATGGGTTAAAATCTCAAATACGACCTTGATGCTCAAAAAGAGATGACCATCCACAGAGCAATGGTGATGCCCATTTTGGAATAACCGAGATGATATGTTTTGAAGAGTAACAGACCTTGGTAAACATTGCCTCAGTCTCCACAAAAAATGCAAGGTATCTATGGAGCATAGCTTTTGAAACTGTCAAGGCAATACAAGTGTTGCGGGGACTAGTTTTCGCTTAATGTGTTTTTCGAAAACAAATGAGCTAGAACACTTCAAACCACCGATCCATTTTCGGCTATTTGGTCACATGCTGCATGTTTTGCTGGAAGACTACTCGCCAGCGAAGCGTTGGTCTCAACGTTTGCTTTCGCCGTACTTTTTATTGTCTTACTGAATAGCTCTTTGGTGCAGACTGTCATGCAGTATAAAGGGAAGAAAAGAGCCCCCTTATATGGCCTACTCATCATAAAAACTGACGCAGCCGGACAGTGTACTTTCCTCTTCAGCGTCATCATCATCCTCATTTACAGGAGTCACCGAATTTTTGTGACACCTTAGCAGAATTTGAATTTACGTCAGCACAATGACGAAAGATCTGTCTTTAAAAGGTAGATGAGCACATCGAGACTTTTTATGCGCCCGAGCGACTCGCATCATTATTGTTTCATCGGTCTTTTGTTGTCCCGGGAAAGTGCGTTTCATTGTGTGTAAGCATGTAATCAGACCATTTCCAGAGATTTTGGATAACAAATAAGAACTGAGTTATTTCCGTTCTGGAGGACAGGTTATTATCATTTGTGGCGATTGCTAGCATGGTTGCGTAAGAAGGCAGACGTCCTATGAATGGCTTATACTTCATTTTCTTGGCAACCTCGTAGAGTTTGAGGACCGTTACGGAGAGACTGGACCTCACCGTAGTGTGATGTTTTGTGTACCTCAGTTACCAATCGAACTGTGTTGAGGGGTGTCCGTGCAACACTTGCAGTCTCTCATATAAGGTTATTCAATGGTTAGAGATCTAACCAACAGTCTCCCGGTTCTCCAGGTTGGGGGTCGTAACATGTGTGACGACGTGAGCCGTAAAAATGGTAATATGCTTGCATTTCCAGCAAAACACCGCTGCCTTGCGGTGTTTGCTTTTGAGCCATAGGCTTTTGTTGATGACCCTAGTCGTATACCTGTCTAGGTGTCGCGCCGTGGCAGCATCCTGGTCAACTTACAACCGTTAATTCCACATATACAGATAAACTCCTGTCACATCCGCCGACATGTGTACGGCAGCAAAACAGCAGTGTTGGGTAATGATGTCGTGCTGTCCATGATGACGACGATGGAAAGTTTGAGGAAAGAGTCGTCAAATACCAGGAAGGCTTTTAGTTCATTAAGCAGATCTAACTTTGTTCAGAGACATTGCTGAAAGATGAGATTGCGGGACAGATTGCCAGACTCATCAGAGACTCGTTTTTTGCCGCCACAAACCAGACTTCTTGTTTTCATAGAGGACACTACTCAAAATGTTGCTGAAAACTCTTTAACAGCCCATGACCGGTTTCGCCCCGCTTGGTGCTCATCAGGTAGGCGCAGTCCCCGAGTTTCCATCAACTTTTTGTTTCGCTTGGAACCAAATTGGACTGTTTTCGAAAAATACACTCATTTGCAAATCAGTCACAGGATTGCTGAGTGAGTTGCAAGTCGGGGACTGCGCCTACCTGATGAGCCCCAAGAAGGGCGAAACCAGTTGTGAGCTGTCGAAGAGTTTTCAGCATCCTTGTGAGTAGTTTCCTTTATGAAAATATACTGCAACATCTCGAATATCGGCCAACTGAAACATGAGGTGGCTTGTGTGCAGCACATTCAGTTGTAGAATATCATAAACGAGAGATTCAGTTGAGTCTCTCGTGAAAACCAAATTGGTTTGCAAACAAGTGTATTTCTCGAAGACTGATTGTTGTTTGTCACGCTGCTTGCCAAAATTATTGTTGAATTGTAATCCAACTTGTTCAGATGGATATTTATAACTCCTAGGGGTATTCTGAACTCGACACAGTCGGGCTTTCACAATAAAGGGAGTAAATATGGAAGCCACTTATCAGTTCTGGAAGATCGCGTTTGCAAGTCAGAAGACTTTGCAGACATCAACAAACTTCTCCTTACTCATAGTAGCTATCGAAGACGTGATCCACGAATTCCACATTCCGAGTGAGTGTGTGAGGATGTCAGCGAGTTAACAGTTTAGCATTTACGGGGACGAGTATGCCTATCGTGATTTGGCCGATTGACGTTTTCGTACATTTCGAGTTTTGAGATGCGAGCTTTTCTTACATAAAAGCCCAGTCGCAGACTTTTCTGTTCCGCCCGCCAAGGTTTCATCGATCTGATACTATTTTAGCCCGTTTGTTCCACATGAAAAGTCAGATGGTCAAACACCCAGGGAGATGGTACAGTCGAGCAATCTAGCTCCTTGAACAACGAGAGTTATTCCGCTTTACACCCAGGAGTTTCTTAATTTAGGTGCACCGTATGCATATGGGAAAGGACCAATATACTTAGTTGAAACATATTTTGAACATGGGCTGCACATATGATCTAGTTCGAAAATTTCCTGTAATTTCTGCCATTTTGGCAACTTGTACTTCAAAAAACCTATTTATAGAACGCATAATCAATCAGTCCTGGATACTCCAATACAACTGAATTTATCTTCGACGTTGGAATGCATCACCAGGCTATCGCCGACGGCGAAGGTAGGATTTGTCCCCAGGTGAGAGGTGTTTTTACACCTGATGGGGTAACCGAGAGTGATTACATTACGTCTACATCGTGTAGTGACAGTTCTTCTGGTGGTCTGCGGGTCATATACTCGTAGTCTTAAGGAGAACAACGGTTTGTATTATTCAAGACAATGCCACTAGACGTCATACACGGTTGGACTGAAACAGGACTGGCAACACGAAAAGCGTGCAGTGGGCTTCCCCTCTGCATCTGGCGACCGGTCGTCTGCGATTGTGTGCGCGTAGCGGAATGTGACACGTAGAACACTAGTTTATTTGAAGTTGACTAGAAAAACGCCTGGGGTGCGTTTATTGTTTCCTGAATTAGTTCGGCACAATCCTACTTTTTTATCTGGATGATAAAAAGTTCTGCAAGCAGTTTCATTGCTACCCCATATAGGCTATAACACGCTCAAGAAATAGATTCAAGGTCCTGTTTAAAAGCGATCACATTCTGAGACCAATCACGACTGCAAATATTCCCCCTGGGGAAGAGGAGTGTGTATGAGGCGGGGACTCCAATATAACCCTTCGATGCAGAAGACTCTTCAACGATGTCTACCAAGGACTGTTACCGAGGGTTGAACTCAGACAACTTGAGTCACCAGGCAAACACACTCAGTAGAAGTCTTTCTTTTTCCGAATGGAGCACGTATAGATATTGTGATGAACATGACTGATGCTCGGTGCCTCACCCGATATGGATGATAAGAAACTCACTGCATATTTCCTACATTTCGTTGGCAAGGAGGCGTATACTTTGATCAAGAATTTAATTTAGTCTGAATCTCCAATTGATATTTCTTACACTGCATTGAAGAAAAAAGTTCTTCAACACTTCAAACCGATTCACTTCGTAGCAGCCGAAAGAGCTAAGTTCAATATGTTAACCCGCTCTCATTCTCAGTCGGTCCGTGATTTCGTGTTACAGCTGCAGACACAGGCAGCCAAATGCGACTACGGTGCCCAATTGGAAGACCAGCTGCGTGATAGACTCATTGCTGGCATTCAACTGCCCGAATTACAGCAGAAGCTGTTACTCTGTCCGG